TGCTTTGGATTGTTCTTATATGAATAGATTCTTGTCTTAAGTTAACAAATGGTCTCACTTAAATGGTCTTAAACTAAATCCATCTAACTAAATGTCATACGTTTGTTGATTTTAGTTTCAGATGCGAACAAGACTTGCGTGGACTGATTCAGTCGCATGACTCCTGTAGTACTGATGGCACTGTGTGAGAGGGAGTAAAGCGAATATCTCCTATCTCGCCATCAGTTTCTCTTCGAATCTGTGTTGGCCGTCTCATATCCTGTTGATTTCTAAGAAAAATCCTCGTTTGACTTATTTAATACATAAAGAAGTTGAGACTTTCTGCTAGCACCATAACTCAACCTCTTCTCCTATACTTTGTTAATTCATGCATTCTGTCCATTCACCTTCTTTATTGTTCAACCCATTTATTCTTCGCTGGACTTCTCAAAAAAGACTATTTCATATTACGTAGATCACAGAAGGCTGACATCAATGTTCTTGATAGGCACTTCATTTCCTGCAAGCATTTGGCAAAATTTATCTTGTCTGATATTGGACATCTTCTTTATTCGCAATTTTTTCCGTGGATCTCTTAGGTGAATGAAAGCAGAAGAAACTCCATAAGAATTTATGCTTGTACAGATACTAAATATCAGAATTCTACCATACCATATTTAGCACGGGTATTGCGTGAAGAGAGAGTTAGATTTCCGAGAAGAACTTATAAACATTTTAAATCAGGAATCTGAACTGCAAATTATAAGCAAAGCTTATTATTAATATTACATGTTTTGTCTATGTAATTTTCAGCATAAATTAATCGTTATCCTTTGCCCTACTGACAACCCAAATTAAGTAGTATATCTGTTTTTAAAAATATTTTCCAGTTGTAGAAAAGTAACGTCTATTTGTGCAGCAGATTTAGGACATTTTGACGACATACACTTACTCGCCATAAATATTTATGTTAAAAGCAATGCAACATGAAGAATCACAATTCTGATCAACGTACGTCAAAATATTTGTGATTAACGATCATAAATCAGAGGTAAGAAAATGAGGTAAGAAAAGAAGGTAGGGGGAGGGGTGCGTGTTAAAATAATATTAACTAAAATGAACCAAATTAAAATATAGCGATCTCGAAGTATAAGCGCACCAATGACCTTGAACGTATGCTGTTCACTGGATCACGACACCCACTATTGTTAAAGCACCACTATGATGAATGCCAATTACGAAGAGAAAAGCAAATTTCATCCCAATCTTGTTTTGAAGTGCTGTTTGCATAGAGTCTTGGTACATTGGTAGGGTTACACCTAGGGTTCGGATTAAAATTTTTTAACTTTTATATTCATTCTTCCGGTGAATAGGTGTTGAATAAAGCAAGAACAACAGTAGTTTGTGCAGAATAATATGGTGCCATCATTTAGTAGCTTAAAAATCCCCATTGAGTCATATGAAAAAGAGAAAACATTCAGTGAAGAGACTCTTTTCGGCGAATTCATTCACATAACTGCACAATCGCATTTATATACAATTATTTGTGCGTGTGTGTGTACATGAGGTTTGTCAAGTTAAGATAATTAATCAGGTAATACAAGAATAATCTAATATAGAAACAAGGTGAATTAGACAGCAACTAAAGTAAGATTGAGTTAGTTAGTAAGTTAGATGACCTAATATAAGTGACTAAAATTTTTCAACTTAGGTGAGGAGGATAGCAACGGAGGTAATTACAGGTAGAGACTTAGTAGAGGTGGGGTAGGGAATAATGTCATTTAAATCAGAACTGAAATTGAACAAATAAGTTGGATGATGTAATATAAATGACTAGAAATTGATCTTTGGTCAAGTCAGTAACAGTGGTAATCAGGTGTAGATATTAAATCGGGTGGGGTTAGAGAACAGGTAGGTTAAAAATGTAAAGACAAATAATACTAGTGAAGAGACAGAGAGAAGTAGAATTTACCTGTCGGGATCGCAATCAATCAATAAATTCAGTCATTACACTTGCAATGGACGTACTCTGTCTTAATACCTGACAGGTAAATTCTATTTCCTTCTTTCTGTTTCTTCATTAGTATTATTTTGTCTTCTCAATTGTAATATTTTACATTTTCAACCTTCCTGTTCTCTACCCCCATCCGATTTAATTTCTACACTCCATTACCACTGTTACTGACTCGACCAATGCTCAATATCTAGCCATTTGTGTTACGTCATCTAATTTATTTTTGCTCAATTTTAGTCCTAATTTAAATGACATTATTCTCTACCCCACCTCTACTTAGCCTGTACCTGTAAGTACCATCATTTCTTATTTCGTTGGTTTCTCATCAGCTCAGCTGCTTACAGCCTAAATAAATTATAAGGTTTATGTACAGAAAAGTTTTAACATACTTACAAATAAGGTGTTTGAACCACCTAATGAAATCCATACTAATTCTATCGCAGGCTTTTAGGGAAGACTGAAAACAGGATAAGATTGATAAATGAGTCACAAAAAGAACTCATCTTCAGTCAACTCGGTGAATACATGTACAGAACACTGGTCGCAATTAAAAACTGATACTCCTCCACGTGAATGGGGGATATTTTTGAGTCATGCCCGGGAAAAATATCCTATTTAATGTGTTTTATCATTATACTCTTGTAAATAAACAGCACTTTTATTGTAAAACCACTGGCTTTTCTGACTGGCCGACTAAAGGTCAGTTGTGAGTTCACATTATATGCATCATTATAGTTTAAATTCGCACTTTACTCCATAGTGTTGAAATACATTCCAAATTACTTCGCAGTCAACATTGTCTGTTGACGGCCTTTTCGAATTCGATTAAGTTGAGGTAGAAGTTTGACTGTCACCCTATCTGTCTGTTTTCAACATAGAACTTTACACCAATGTGCACCAGTTCAAGTCGCCATACTTCACTTACCACACAAAGCCAGAGGAGAAGAAAGTAAAAAGAAATGCAAAATAGAGACAGTAGAGAGGGATATGAGACAAAAGGAATAGTAATATCGAAGAACAATATAGTTTCATTGGAAATTTTAAGTCACAAGGAGTGGATGCATCTGCGCCAGCCATCACTGAGAACGATTTTGAGCCAGCCATATCACCAATTGTCTTCAGCCTTCATTGGTCTTACCCTTCCGAGCACCCCAAACAGTTAGCCAGTCTACACTTTCCTACGTGGCTAGATTAAACTAACTGTTGTTGATTTCAGTGATTGATGAGGCCATGTTTTCATTTGACCACCAGTGGCTCTTTTCCAACCTTGTCCATCCATCCTCTGTCAGCTAACATTGCCTATTGAGGAAGGTGATCGATGGCTAGGCATGCGAAACACATGCCCTAACCATCGCCTCAATTGATGTAACTTCATAGTCTCGTCGATTGATTTCCCCTCCTTACACCTAGCCCCTCGATCGATGCATAATCTCAATTTTGCTCACTCTATTATACCAATTCACACGGGAGATAGAACGCAGGCACCTATGATCAAAGACAGCTAACTAGCCAGGCTTCTCAAGTCTTCCGCTTCCATTGATCATGTCTGACTGACAGCCATAAAGGAGGACGGAGTGGACTGATGAGCAGTACACACGCCCTTCGGTCGACAGCCAGCCGGATATCACGTCACATTCCACACTACATAGCAATTTACGTTTGTACGTGTGGTTACATACACATACATAGAGAGGAGTAATCGCACTTCGCATGTGTAAGGATGGGAGAGCATATTCTGAAGTGATTAGAAAAAACAGATGAACTTTGGAAAATCGATAGACGCAGGTGCCAGACTACCACCACCCACTATGTCTCTAGTTAAACACCTAATCGATATGAACTACAAGGCTCATGTTAAGAACAGCTTTTAAGGTTATTTTTAAAAAAGGGTAATGGACGCTTATTGAAATACACTGAAACAATAGCTCTTGGTAAACTTGAGCCTAATTCCCCCCTTGCGTGTAGAAAAACAATTTGTTATTACTTCTTAACCTACTATATGTCGTGTTTATTATTGTTAAATCCTTTTTGCATGTCAGCTGGCCTCCATTTTTCATAAAAATTGACTTGATAAATAAATATGTGGGGGATCAAATTGTGCTTCGAAGTGTAGATAGCGTAAATGCATCACACCGCATTTTTCAGATAATCTCCGTCTTCTAATAAATAACACTGATCAAATTTATAAAAGTTTGCGTCAGTGGCACAGCGGTAGAATGCTTGCCAACCACGTTTCATATGGTCCGGGGTTCGATCCCTGGATACAGACGCACTCCTTTACCTCGCTAAGCCAGCAATGGGACTGGTAAAGAGGGAAGGTTGGGCTAGGCATGAGGCTAGCAACCCCATCCCGTAAAAATAACGAAACACCCCTGCTATCGAAACTTCAAAAGTCTAGCTTGAAGACCCCTATGTTCCACTGGGGGGAAAGTAAAGGAATAAGAGAAATCTATAAAAGGAAGTAACTATTTGAAATATTGAGGAATACGCGGAATTGAATTGGCAGAAGCTAGAATTCATGGGCTGGCCAATGGATTGGCGGGTCCGATTGGCTTAATGGTCTACGAGCTAGATCGCCATCTTGTAACCTGAAGGGATCCTGGGTTCAAACCCCAGTGAGGTGGGTGTGTACCGCTCTCTGATGAACAGTCCCAAACTGTCTGGCAGCACTCCCTGTGGCTGGCTATCCAGCAGTTTTCTAACTGATGTCAGCTCATGATGAAATCCTCTACAACCAACCAGCCAAAAAAAAACGCATAGTCAATTTTTGAAAAAATAATTCTATTTTGATTTTGCAGGTATTTTTCCTCGAGTGAAATGCATAGAAATACAGAATGTATAAAAATAGTAATAATAATAATAATCTGTGGTATGTAAGAGAAAATCTCGGCGCAAAATTCGACAGATGAGTAAGAATTGCCTACAAAAATCGATAATAATTACATCATCATTATTATTTTTCTTTTCACTTTGTAGACATAAATAAATAAAGCGATAAAAGTTCAAGTTATCGAAAGAAATTGTCTAGTTTCGATTGTTTCGAATCTGTTAATGACGTCTTCGTTGAGTGCCTTTTACCAACTTTACGGCGTTTTTCAACAGCCTATTTAAGGAACGAAATTTAGCAAAAGAAATTAAGTTTAGAGGTGTGATACAACACTTATTCAGGTTAAATAAAAAAAATAAAATTAGAGCAGATAAAAGCGGTTAAAATCAGGAGATTTATATAATTATATTAGGCGAATGATTAACTTTCAGACTCCATATTATTTTGTTTATTATTTGTATCACACAGTGAAACAGTATTAGTATTTACTTGATGACGTTTCGAACAAAATTTATAACTGTTCATAATCATTTCATCAATTATAATCACACAACTTCGAAACTTGAGTTTTATAGTCTTCTTTGTTTTCTCTTATTTGTCGTAGGGGTAGTAGAATTTTCCAGATATCCGAATGGACAGGTGTGGAATCATTCCTATTACACGTACTCTGTCTCAGTTGATTCGATAAACAAAGCTTCTGTTATCAATCTCTCCCTTCATTCACCCCGGTACATTATTTATTAAAACCGTCATCTTATCCCATCCATCCTGTTGTATGGTTGTGTGGGTGTAATTGCATGTAGTGAGTGCTATAGCTGAACTATTCTCTAGATTTCTTATCTTATTCGGGTCAACTAATCTAGATTTTGCTAGGATTTTATGCTCGCGTAATCTGACTGCCCCTATTCTGCTACTTTGACCTGACAATCATTCCAGCAGGGTATTAGATCAGCTAAATTGTTTTGTTTTAAAGGTCCACACGATAGCTCATTTAACCAACAAAGCCTGTTTCTAATTGAGTTTGTGGGTGGTTGGAATGCCAGCCACTTTTATTCCTGCCTGCCTTGTTAATAATTCTACCCGAGGTTCCTTCCTTGTATGGAATTACTACTGGTGATTTAGATTCCTTATTGTCGGTGTTGTCATTATCCTGGGCATGTTTGACATGCATGTCCTGATAAATAGAACCACTATTATTATTATTATCACTATCACTACTACTATTATTTATTTTGTTTTTACGTTTCCCCACATACTTTCTGACTAATTTATCAGCGTACTTATCATGTTTCAAAGCTTCTCTTATATGCCTCACTTCCTGTCTTATATTTCCCTTAGTACTACATAGTTTTAGTGCTCTATCACTTAAACATTTCACTAATCCTATTTTCACTGACATACGATGGTGTGATCGGAAGTCCAAATATCTGTTTGAATGTGTGGGTTTCCTGTAAACACTGTTTAACTTCCGATCTTTTTTCCATTTTACGCTACAATCTAACATTGGAAGTTCCCCTTCCTTTGTCGGTTAAAGGATCAATCCTGTGGAGCCTTTAAAACAAAACAATTCAGCTGATCTAATACCCTGCTGGAATGATTGTCAGGTCAAAGTAGCAGAATAGGGGCAGTCAGATTACGCGAGCATAAAATCCTAGCAAAATCTAGATTAGTTGACCCGAATAAGATAAGAAATCTAGAGAATAGTTCAGCTATAGCACTCACTACATGCAATTACACCCACACAACCATACAATAGGATGGATGGGATAAGATGACGGTTTTAAAAAATAATGTACCGGGGTGAATGAAGGGAGAGATTGATAACAGAAGCTTTGTTTATCGAATCAACTGAGAGAGAATACATGTAATAGGAATGATTCAATACCTGTCCAATTGGATATCTGGAAAATTCTACTACCCATACGACGAATAGGAGAGAACAAAGAAAACTATAAAACTCAAGTTTCAAAGTCGTGTGATCACAACTGATATGATTATGAACAATAAATTTTGTTCGAAACGTCATCCAATAAACACTAATACTATTTCACTGTGTGATACATCTAATAAACAAACTAATATGGAATTACTTACTACCACAGTGCCCAAGTCTTACACATATATTAACTTTCAGACTTCCAAAATGTATTAATGTCTATAATAATACAACGAGTTCTACTGATAAGATTTATCAGTAGTATATAAAGAGATGTTCATCGGCATAAAAACATCAAATAACAGAGAGAGATATTTGATGTCAGAGAAAGCAAATGCGATACAGCGTTGTGGAGATACATGGGAGACAATGTGAAAGGAACACATAGAAACACACACAATATGAAGGAAGGTCAGAAGTACCAGGCACAACACGAAGATCTGTGCAAATGGGAATTTGTTAAGTACGCTGATGATTAAACTGCCTTATTGCCAGTTACTTCCCGAAAGTGTTCTGTCTAACATTCTACATTAAGAAATTAAGGCAATCAGGAATCACTCAACTTAGACTTTTACAGTTTGTTCACTCTTGCATCTTACCCATTGTTCTTTATTGCTCCCCACTCACACACCTTAGTATTTCCTGGACTACCTACTCAAAAAGGAGTATGTCCTATTACGCAGAGTATTAAAGGTTCTTAGTAGGGTAAGTTATATGCCAACTTAGTCGACAGACACCTGAACTCATGTGAGAAATCGTCGAAATCCATACATATTTTCTGACTCTCAACACTCCATATTCTCTCTATTCACAACTATCCTCGCCTTCCATCTCATCAGGTAGGTCTGTCTAGAAGTCATTATAAAAGATTATATGCTCGCTCGCACAACCAAGCATAAAAACTCAACGATGTCTTTTATTTGGTCCGCCCACCCAATCCCCTTCTACGTGTCTTGGATTTCTGGGGTAACAACTGATTTTGAAACAAGTTATATCACGAAGCGATACCAGTTAGAAGAGACATTGAAAAGAACGAAGCACCCTACCAGAAATGGGAAGTGGAGCCTTCAGGTACAGAAGTAATCATATTAACATTCAACCACTTCATTAAAAGTGGCCAACAACCCATAAACTTTGAATTCCGATAAAGGAATTACAACTTTTGTTCTCTTATAGAATGACTGTCTACAGTCGAAAGGTAAGATTAAGCAAATATTTTAACAACGTTAATTAGTTAAGAAAAGATACACATGCATCGATCAGCGGTTAGGACTCTCGGTGACCATGCATATGGTCTGGGGTTTGATCCCCGGCAGACGCACACCTGATATCAAATGGTCGGCCTGCAAAATTCAGGCTACCGATACCACATGCTGAAAATTTCATACTTGTACCAAAAATACGGTGTGGAATCAAGTTATGATCAAAAATAAAAATAAAAGAATAAAAAACAAAAGTCCGTTCTATGCATGAACATACCTCTCCATTGGATGTCTTTGAATAATTTTCAAAATGAGCGAATATCTAGAGACAGAAAAAAAAACGTTAGGGGAGATCAAACTCTGAAAATAAGGCATCAATCAATGAAAATTAATTTGAACTACACATACAGAGAGGTGAGTAGACAATATGAGGTGGGGTCGGTCAATTGAGACACTAAGAAGTAATAATTGAAGACCATTGGTGATAATGTGCGTCGGTGGCACAGTGGTAGAATGCTCGCCAACAATGCCTCATGTGGTCCAGGGTTTAATTCCCGGCCGACGCACTTCCTTTACCTCGCTAAGCCAGTAATTAAAGAGGAAGGTTGGGCATGAGGCTAGCAACCCCATCCCGTAACAATAAACATCACTGCTACCGAAACTTCAAGCCTGTAGCTTGAAGTCCTATGTTACACTAGGAACGTAAAGATATAAAAAAATGGGTGATATTGGCTTAAAAATTATTCTCAATGGTGCAGATGATTTTAAGCTTTACGATCTTCTAATTCTATTGTATTATTATTGTTTCCTTTAGTTCCTAGAGGAACATAGGGCTTCAGCCGCACGGCTCTATTGCGTTCGGTTCTCCGCCAACGTTTTCATCACCTGGCTCCACATCTGCCCACATGCTTTCATCTCCTCTCCGCATCACCTCCTCCTCCATGCCACCCTCGCACTGACGACCAACTTGCCGCTTCCCGTTCAGGTTCCACTCGAAAGATAGCCAGGCGTGTGATGTTATTCACTTGATGATTTGTTTTCTCCGAGTATGGCCAGCCAATCCACCTCCATTTCTTCCTGCATATTTGTTGCACAATCGGTTTCTGCTTGGTTGGTTAGTTCGATCCCAGAGATCCACCTATGATCAAAGACAGCTAACCTTTTCATGGCCTCCACTCTCAATGGCCAGGTCTCACAACCTGTTCAAAATGCTTATGGTGATGCAACATGTTCCCGATGTATACAGAAGCCCTGATTCATCCATGGCTCCCTCTAGTTATCTTTATAAATATTCGTGACAAGATAATCTATTTCGAAATCTCATCACAAAACTATATGAATAACATTCACAGCATATGTTGAATTAGTGGAAGCCGGTGTGACATAATGAAATCATTGAATGAAATATGATTTACACGAGGTTCAAAAACATTCCGAAGAAAATAAGAATTATTTCCACTACGATGATACGATAGTAATGATCGAATATACAAAGTCGGGATACATCCTCAGCTTGTGAAGGCTAGGTTCAGCAACAACTGGTTTGCATACTATGGGATTTTGTTTGATTTGTTGGAAGATTTCATCAATAGCTGACTCTTCAGCGGTACGCACCCACCGTTAGGGTTCAAACCCAGGACCTTCTGGTTACAAGGCGAGCTAGCTCGTAGAACACTAAAGCCACTGGGACCTAATTCATGACATAGCGCGACCACTTAGCAATGTCTTTTTCGATAAGAGTACCTGTCCTCACCTTCGTCCCAAACTAGGACAACGAAAACGGTTGTCTGGCAGTACTACCTGCAGGTTTTCCAATAATTCTCTAACCAATGTTAGCTCATGATGAAATTCTTCAACCGATCAAATAATTTAATTAAATAATTGAAAATAATGATGAGAGACTGATAATCACAAAGCCTGATAAAGGATCAGGAGTAGTTCTCCTTGGTAAAAGTGACTGTATTAAAAAGATGAAGGATATATTGAAGGACACACAGAAGTTTCAAAAACTTGAGGAGAAGAAAGATTTCAATAACAAAATAGAGAATGAATTAATTATCCAGACGTTTGAAGAAACTAAGGGAGAAGCAGATATTTTCTGAAAGTTTATATGAAGAAATCAGACCAACGGGCACGTATACGCCAAGATTGTATGGCCTACCTAAAGTGCATAAACCAGGGGTACCGTTAAGACCAATACTTGATATGCTAAATTCGCCCTCCCATGCTCTAGCTGGATGGTTAGTAAATATTCTCAAACTTTTGAATGATAAGATAGTGAAATATAGAGTCAAAGATGTATTTGAATTCGTCGACAAAATAAAAGATATTAATATCAAGGACAAAACCATGATATCTCTGGACATAACATCTTTATTCTCAAATGTACCTCTAATAGAAGCAGTTAACTGCATATGTGAACAAGTGGATAACCAGTCGATAAACATTGGCATCCATACTGAAATCCTAGAAGAATTTTTATTAAGATGTACCATGAATGTAAACTTTAAATTTGACCGCACGCTTTACAGGCAAGTGGACACGGTGGCGAAGGGCTTCCCATTAGGTCCCATTTTGGCTGATTTCTTTCTAAGTAAGCTAGAAAATGGACCTTTGAACAACGTTATCAGTAAGTTCTCATTTTATTACCGGTACATGGATGACACCTTCATTCTTTGTGATAATGATTCAGATAGGAATACAATAATTACTGAATTCAATGAAGTACATTCTGAAATGAAATTCACGTGCGAAGAGGAATCCCAAGAAAGAATTGCCTTCCTGGATGTCCTACTTACAAGAAACCAGATGGATAGGACAATATACACATTTTCACAGCTTCGTTCCTCTCAAGCACAGAAGAAATTTAGTGAAGACCCTCAGCCACAGAGTTACAGCTATATCCTCAGCAACAGAGTAATTGAAGATGAATTAATCATTGTATATGATACTTTGATCGAAAATAGCTATCCTGAAAAATTCATCAAGAAACACATGACAAAGAAAATGGAAAAGGACTACTCACTATCTGTAAACAAGAAGCCACTTTATATACGACTGCAATTCAGGGGGCGATATACCAAGTGAGATAATTACGAGGAAATTAAGAAAATCAGTTCAAAGAACTTTCAATGCTGGCGAACTACACGTCTTATTCTTTACACGACCAGTTTTGATTCCTCGACTGAAAAATGAATTACCTAGACTAGCCACTTCAAATTGTATCTACTAATTCAACTGAGCTTGTGGAGCGAGTTATATTGGCCGTTACTCTAGGAACTTGAGTTTTCGTGCTCGCTCCAGAACATCTCCCACTATGGCTAAGTAAAGGTGTAGTGAAAACCACTAACAGTTCGATATTGGGCCATTTGGTGCAAACCGGCCACAAAGCCAACCAGCGTTGAAGAATCCTTCTCTATAATCTACCGAGTACCGAATAAATTACCAGAAACATCGAAGCACCACATGCTCCAAACAGCAGAGGCTATTGCAATTCGCCTCAAACAACCAGTGCTCTGTGTTCAAAAGAAGCAAGTCCAGCCAGCCGCTACTACTGCCCTGGCCGGCCTTCACTAGAGACTATAAATTCATGAATTTGTACTATTATCTTTCCTAATTTTTTCTGACATTCAGTTTATTGTTATGTTGATGACATTGAGCTGTAATCTATCAATATTATTGATTCGATGTTATTCAAACAGCAATAATGTTGTTCATAACACCAGTTCATTCATTCACTATAATGTATATATAAGTGTAGAGCCTGATGATGAAGCGGTTATTGAAAAGAGTATTCTTTGTTCAGTATACATCCTTTTGAAAATTTTAAAAACGTCTTCTTTGCTTCAACTTAAAGATTCAGTAATCGCAATAAATTAAAAAAATTTACCTTTTTAGTTGCAGTAGAAATAGCTGATGTCTGTAAATCTTCTAGGCTAACCCATCGTCCAAAATTCAGCAGAGGTGGCCAAATATCCTCCTCCATGATATCAGATTTAGGCTTTTCGTCAAGTTTTAAAGTGAATACAATGTATTTCATGTGTATATGAGAGAAGATATGCACAACCTATGAGAAAGTTATCAACATAAATAAATAAATCAATAGAAAAGGAAAGCCAATGAAAGTGAAAATAAGTTGAGTTAGACCATTTAAGGTTATTTTTGAGGATTAGCGGATATATAGAACTGAAGGATGAAATGAAAACCTAAGTAGTAGTGTAACAATATAAGACAAGGGCCAGGCAACAGATCGTTTATTATGGAAATCAACACATATTTATAGATTTTTATGTACATTATTATTCGTCATAATTAGCAGAGAAACAGAGTCTTCTGATTGGTTGTTTCTCACTGAAAGTTAATCTTTCATCTCTTTGTGGTTGTTTCTTGAAGGTCAGATCATCTATCTGCCAATTGTACCCGCCTACGCAAAGTCAGCTGTGGTTGGTTGTTGAATCAGTCTTTGTTCTTATTTTTCCCACGACCAATATTGGGGGCGTAAACATTGACGTAAATTACTGTCTACCAATTTGGCTAGCAGCCATCTCTCATCACAGTAGTAGCCAAGCGTAAAAATAGGCTGCCTCTGAAGTCCTAGCGCAGAGCTTTTACACAACAGTAAGTTATGACACCCAGCTCTATTAACCAGATTATCAGGTAGTTATAATGGAGTACGAATTCTCACTAGAGCCCAAGACAACTTTTGAAATAATGAGGAAAATTTGTAGCTTAGGTGGATGATTTTCAATTAGTTGTGTTCTCTGAGGAGCTGGTTGTTTCAATCGCGAAGCTTCTGTCGTTCTTCTGGAAAACATCCCCCTCTATGAATGATAGAATTGCGTCGCCAAGCAACCATCTACGTGACTGGTAGTCAATCTAAATCTGTAGTGATCATCTTTTATTGACTTGGAATTTGAACTTGCTCTTCACGTGGTTTACTTTTTATTAGTTGGTAAATTTGGTCTATATAAACATGTTTGTTAATCGCTAATTCGCTTGAGTACCAGGCTTCTAGGAATTCCCTGGATATCTTCAAAATCTCATCAAAAAGTGTTTACAATCGAGTCACAACACCAACAACAAGAAATCATAAAGACTACAAGAAAATCCATTCTATCATATATAAAAATATCTCTGAAATAACAGCTAGAATATTAAGAACGTTTGAAATAGATATAGCACACAAGCCAACCAGCCAGCACAATCACTTCATTCTATATTGTGCAAACCAAAACATCCACCAGGAAAAGAAGAAGATAAAATTCATACCATTTACAAAATAAATTGCATGCATGAATTACAACAAACATTACATTAATGAAAGTGGACGTCCCCTTCGAATCCTAATCCACAAACACAAATTAGCTGTGAAAAGACATGATACATATTCTCTTATATCAATGCATGTAGATAATTATGAACACCAATTCGATTGGGATAATATCGAAATTTTAAACAGAGGAAACACCAAAACTGATGCCAGTGAATTCCTAGAAGCCTGGTACTCAAGCGAATCAGCGATTAATAAACATGTTAATATAGACCAAATCTACCAACTAATAAAAAGTAAATCATGTGACGAGAAAGTTTAAAATCCAAGTCAATAGCAAATGGTCAATATAGATGCAAATCGACTACCAGTCACGAAGATAGTTGCCAGGCGACACAATTCTATCATCAGTCTTGGAGAATTTAAATCAGTTCATTTATTGCTAAAACTTGCGATGAAGGGGGGTGTTTTCCAGAAGGACGACGAAAGCATCGCAATCAAACCAACCAACTCCTCAGAGAACACCAGTAATTGCAAATCAAGGCAACTTTTTGCATAGTGAGCATCAGATTAGTTATCAAGCTTTGGTTTGTTTAAGTCTTGCTCACAAGTTGATATCAGTTAAAGAACCACAACGAACTACTGAAAAGCTCTCCCTTCTTAGTTTGCAACTCTCCGGCAGTACGTAGCTACCGGGTTTCGAGCCCAGGACCTTCCGGTTACAAGTTGGCGAGCTCGTAGACCATTAAGTCACTGGGACCCGCCAATCCAATGAATCCCAACTTTCGCTAACTGATGATATAGAGCGACTGGCACTAGCCAATGTTATCTGTGGCGAATAATTGTCGTCACACCCGACCTGCTGTACCCCATTGATCATTTCGACCGATTATTTCTGCCCTCGTAGAACTAAATACAAATCTATGGCGACATCACATAAATAATTCTGCAATCAGCAAGCGGATTTTTTGGACGAAATGCAAGTCGAATTGATGTTAATTGACTGCAGGCACTCGTCTGCCAGTAGTATATGACATCTAGAAGCAATTCATGTCCCCTCTAGGATTCGAACCCGCATCATCCATTGCTATAGGCGCTCACCCCCCTCCTCCTCCTCCCAACCAAAAGATGCATCTTCACTTCAAACCTTACTCCACCTACCGAGGGTGGGGACAACACCAAGTAAGCAGTACCATTGACTCTTACACAATAGGTGTTAGTCATTCCTAACAAGGAAAGAAAGCGAGGATAGATGTTGGGTACCACATTTTGCTAACTGTCCACTGTGTATCATTAGGCTCATATTCGCCTGAATAGTACTCGAAACAGGACGAAAAAGATGAAAAGACAACATAATGGTGAAAAATTACCTCTCCAATCGATTTTACATTCAAATCATTGTAGGGCAGTCTGTTAGATGAATCAGATTCCAATGCCTTTTTAATTTGTTCAATAGCCAATGGTATAAATGATTGAATTTCATCCATTGAACATTGATCTTTTACTTTTACAGCATCATTATTCTCACTTTTCAATGTTTCAATGGTATAACTTGGAAATTCCCATAAACCAGCTAAGAGGCCTAAATAAATAAAGAAAGAATAAATAAATAAAATCAATATCAGGGAAGATGATACAATGGGGGTAGATTGAAATACACTTGAATTAAACGATGTGGGTAATGAGCAGGAAAGCTTTGTGTGCTTATGGAAGTGTACTGGAGGTTATTACCACCAAGGGGCGTGTGTACTGCTCAGCAGTTCGCTCTGTCCTTCTCTATGGCTCTGAAACATGGCCAATACGAGTTGGAGAAATGAAAAGGTTGTCTGCTTTTGATCATAGATGTCTACGATCTCTTTCTCACGTTAGGTGGCATAATAAGGTAAGTAATGTTGACGTTAGGCGTAGAGTGTTGGGCAAAGAGGGAAAATCAATCGACAAGGCTATAAAGTTACATAGATTGAGATGGCTGGGTCACGTTCTGCGCATGCCTAACCATCGCCTCCCCCACCCGACGGGCATTACTAGCTGATATAGGCGCAGGTTGGAAAAGAGTAAGCGGTGGCCAAACAAAAACATGGCATCATTAATCCATGAAATCCTTGACAATTAAACTGAGTCAGGTAGGGAGGGAGATGCAGACTTCCGGGTTGGGGCCCGCCCTCGGGACTCTAAGAATCAATGGCTGGAGACACACAATAGGTGACATGGCTCAAAATCGTTGTCAATGGCTTACGCAGATGTATTCAGTGTCTGTTATCTTTCATATTCCTTTCTACCATTACTCATTCTGTTCCACTCTTATACTTGTCAAAACTCTATTGATTCTCTTCACTCATCCTTTTGTCTACCTTTGTGTGCTATTTGGAACGTGGCAACTGGAACTGCTGCACTTCGGTGCCAAGTTCTATGTTGAATCCAGACAGACAGACAGATCACCATGAAAGATGATTTCCTCTTGGAGTACATGAAATAGAAGAAGAAGCGTTAGTGTTGCCTGACCACAGATGTCAATCACTCACGGGTAGTTTGAAGTGACTTTTAAAAAAGACGTACCACCTGAAACCAGTTAGGAAATCTTCCACAATGCACTCAGCATAAGGAACAAGATTCGCATTTTCAACACCAATGTCAAGTCGGCGTGTCACAAAAAGGATTTCCAGCAGGTTGGAGACTTTCATCAACAGCTGCCATTGCTGACTCCATACTTAACATCAAATGGCCAGACGGCCAGAAAGAGTAAGTAACAAGAAACTTTGGCTGGGAACAAACCAACATGCGAGAGCCGATCGCTCAACAAATATGTAGGAGAAAGTGGAGATGGATTGATCGGGCGCATATTGAGGAGGCCGCTGAATGACATCGCACACAAGGTCATTGCTCACATGTTAATACACTTCCAGGCAAAAATCCAAAACTATGTAACTCCTTCATGATAAAGTAGTTTAAAAGAGTGGTACAGACTAAATGCCTCTGATGATGAGGTCGCGAATGTTATTATGTGCGTCGGTGGCACAGAGGTTAGGACTCTCGCCCACCATGCACATGGTCCGGGGTTCGACCCCCTGCCGACGCACACCGATATCTATGGTCGGCCTGCAAAATTTGGGCTACCGATATCACATGCTAAAAATTTCATACTTGTACCATAAATACAGTGTGGAATCTAGCTGTAATAAAAAAAATATTACCCCTTCAATGATTCCAATAATCTCCGAATAGATGAACCATTAGGCGTTTAAAAAAAGGCCTAAGAAAACGTAATACACTGTAGCGTCTACACAAACTATCGTCAGTACAAACAGTTCAGAAACTGTTATCAACATCACGGTAAGTACTGACTAACTTGGAGGCGAGTTTGTGGAAAATATGGCTGAGAAAGAGCTACAGAAGTAATCATTCCGTGCTATTTCGGTTATAAGTCACAGTATATACTGTGCCGTCTGTACTTAGACATTTTCAACGCAAAACAGTGATGAAGGGGGATATGTAAACAAAAGTTCAGTGGAGTAAGATGATTGTTAAAGAATTGCTCAACACTTTTAACTGTCGCTTTCAATATTCTATTTCATCTAAAATGATAGAAGAGTTTGTATTAAGTGAAAAGAAAGTTAGACATACACAGATATGCTCAGATATCGTCTTTCTAAATCACTTAGTAAGATATTCTTTGCAGTCGCAAGTTCTTCATCTCCATAAATTATTATTATTAATAATAATAATAATAATTTACTTTATTCCAGAAACAGTACTAGTGGTACAGTGTGGAATTTTCAGCACATATCTACAATATTTGCATCTAATTTTATCCAACGTTTAAAAGGAGTATTTCAAAAATTAAGACAACAACAACAAAAAAACACAAAAATATTTTTTTTAAATACGAAAAAATACCAAGAAGTAGAAAGGAAAATAAACAGCATATAATAATAACTCAGTATTGGATAGTGGAAGCTATGATATGATTATACATGGTGACAGTAAAGCTATAGTCATACAAGAAGTTATGAACTGATATTTAAGAATGTTTATCGCCAAGATGATCAGTTAATTTGGTTGAAACAACACTAAACAATCATAGAACAACATTTCAGGGTTGTTGTTTTGTTTTTTATTGTCAGGTCTAATGCAGTGTTTGTAGTGGTAGTGTGAGTAATCCCGCATAATACAAAATTTTAAGATGGTGATAATAGCGTTCACAACCAAGATTGTCAGTTAATATTGCCGAAAAAAATTAAAAATAAGAAAAAACAACCACAAAACTAATAATTACATGATGGTTAATGACAGGAAAACTTTGTACCACTCATAGTGCTAATATATTCGGAACCAGTGGATACACAATAGAAGGAATATAGTAAAGTACAAAAAAGGAAGCCAATGTTAGTAATTTAGATAGCTAAGTATGTTTAAGAAGGAGTTCATTATAGAATGCAAAATGAGAGAGAGATAAGCTACCCCACCTGACCGCCTCCATGTGCACTTATCAGTTCACCTGCTTTTCTTGTGGAGCTAGGTACATTGGCCGAAGCCAGAGAATACCGCTTTTCCCGCGGATACGAGAACATATTCCAGCTGCATGAGTTTACAAGGGAGAAACGAAAGGCGTGAGACACTCTACTCCAGAACAATTGATGGACTTCTGTTACTTTACCAACCATCATCATGATTTAAGATCATCTACCGAATCCATGCTAACTTGCAGGATGCGTTTTCTTCATTAGACTTCTAAAGACAGTGGAGGTCTTGGCAATTCATAACTTTAAGCCAGACCTTTGTGTACAAAAGAAGCAGTATGTACGATGCCTACTTCTGCCTTGGCCATAGAGGGATCGACATTTATTTAGTTTATCCTAGTACCTTTCCCACATTACCACGATTATTATTATTATTATTATTATTATTATTATTACTATTCTCACTCTGAATTGTTTTCACTTGTCCCACTTGTCATCCTAAATCAAAATTTTATTTTACAATATTGAATTCTATCTTATCAAATTTCACACCATGTTATGTAACACTTTATATTCGCCTAGTAATCCTATAATTATGCACCCCTTTCCAACATCTATACGCCTTATGTATTATTCCATATATGACATTGATTGGTTTGCCACTTTACATTTAACTATGATTATAATCACAAATATTTTAAGTGTATTTCATTTTCCGGAATTTGTTTGTATGGGTTTGATATGTTTCAAGTCTGATCACGGGTTGATATCAGTGACAGAACCACTGAAAACCATCAGAGAGTACTGGACAGTTGTTTCATCCTAGTTTACGAATCATCATCAGTCCGCACGCACCACAGTGGGATTCGAACCTAGGACCATCCAATTACAAGGCGGGCAAGCTCGCACACCGTTCAGAGCCCGGGAGCCAACTTAATGGCTAGACCATGAATTCTAACTTCTACCAATTCATGATTTCGCGCCACTGGCGCCAGACAGTGTCGTCTGTGGCGAGCATTTGTCTTCACTTCCGACCGATTGGACCTCACTGTTAACGAATTCTCACTAGGAGGACTCCAGGCAACTCTGTCCTTTAGCCAGCCAATCACTAGCGATCATCATACTTTCACAAGTACTCCCTGGTAACTTTCAATGGTTCTTTGTGTGTCTGTCTGTTTTCAGCACAGAACATTGCACCGATGTGCAGCAGTTCGAGTCGCCACACTTCCTCCAACACACAAAGCAGAGGAGAAAGTAAAAAGAAACTCAAAATAGAGACAGCAAACAGAGATATGAGGCGAAAAGAATAGTAATATCGAAGAACAATAAAGTATAATTGGAAATTATAAGTCACAAGGAGTGAATGCATCTGCGCCAGCCATCTTTGAGAAGGATTTTGAGCCAATCACATCACCATTTGTCTCCAGCCTTCATTGGTTTTTACCGTCCCGACGACCCCAACCAGTCAGGAAGTCTACACCTTCCTACGTGACTGGCTGGATTAAACTAACTGTTGTGGATTTCATTGACTGGTGAAGCCATGTTTTGGTCTGACTACCAATGGCTAGCTCTTTTCCAATCTGACCCTATGTCAGCCAACATTGCCCGTTGTCGAGGAAAGAGATGACTAGGCATCCGTAACACATCTGCCAACCATCGCTGCAATCGTCTATTGATTTCCCCTCCTTATACCCAGCAATCGACCGATGTTTAACCTCAATATTACTCACCCTATTGAGGTTCTTTAACTGATATCGATACGTGATGAAGCTTGAAACTATTATTATTATTTTATGTATTCACACCTTTGTTTAAATTTCCTCAGAGGATGTACTTTCTTAATATAAAATACCATATATATATATATATATATATATATATATACATACGATTGTACAGCTTGATAATAAATTCGTGATTGAAAAGGGTCTCTTCACTGAACATTATGTTCTTAATGTTACCATGGGAATTATTAAATTATTGAAAAGAAAATGCAAAAAAACACATAGATGTTTGAGTATTCACTTTCCCCTTCTTACCTGTTTTAGGTCTTTGAAGTAGCAGGTAAACATCTTTATTTGCTCCATTTTCTAATATCGTTGTATGCGTCACTATGACAATGGTGTTTTGTTTACGAGGTTCGCGTTTATTCAATTTGACTGGATAATTCATTACACCAAGACTATGCGATGAAAAGAAAGTAGAAAACAAACACCAATCAATAGCTGGATAATAATAATAATAATGGTTATGGGATTGAAAATGAGCTGACATCAGTTACAGAACCATTGGGGAAACCTGGGGAGTACTGGACAGTTGTTTCGTCCGCCTAGTTTGCGACTCTTCAGGAAGCAGGAAGCACCCAACACAAGCCTTCGAACCAAAGACCTTTTCGGTGACAAGGTAAGCTGTTTGTAAAAACCATTTAGACGTTGGTATCCGGTTAATTTATCTATGGAATTGCAACTTTTAACAAATTTGTGAGATTTTAGAACATTCGAACTTCATCAGCTAGTAAATGTCTTTGATTTAAGATTACTGATTACTCTGTGATTTTTACGCGAAAGAAATAAATGAGCAATCTCTTTGTATTGATCTACTACAGAAGTTCAAATGATCACACCCTAGAGAAGGACACGTTAATGTAAAAAAAATAACAAATGTGTAGGAGCTAAATAATAAACAGAAATGTTCAGAAGAAAGAATAATGACGCCTAATACAACAGTCTTCTGATATTCTCTACCAATCCTTTTCGCCAATGATAATAATAATAGTTTGTTCTATTCCAAAACAGTACTAGTGTAACGAAAGAAGACAACGGTCAGGCGACAGATCGTTTATTGAGAAAATCAACAGATATTTATATACTTTTATGTATATTATTGTCAGCGGAGAAGCAACGTTTTCTGATTGGTTGTTTTCCTGCTGAAGGTAATTCTGAACTGCTTGTGACCATTTCTCAGAAAGTTAAGTCATATATTTGCGAATCGTATTAGCACATGTTAAGTGTGCTGTGATTGGTTGGTGAGTTCCTCAAGATAACCTTAAGCTTTGTTATCGTTTTTCTCATGATCCTGATTCTGGACTGAACACCGACGTAAACAGCCCAGAGATTGCAGATAATTGCAAGCTTCCTAAGTTGCACACCACTTTCCCTACTGACAACTTTTAATACCCTTCTGAAAATGACACAGTCCCTTTTTTAGTAGCCCGGAGAAGCAAAAGTGAAGGGAGCAATGAAGTACAATAGGTAGGATACTCAAGTTAGCAAATTGTAAAAGCAGAGGTTGAGTGATTCCATATAGTTTTAGCTTCTTAATGTAGTAACTTAGACGGAAGATTTTCTTGGAGATCGATAACATATAGGATGACCAAGTAAGGTCAGGCGTCGGTGGCACAGTGGTTAGGACGCTCGCCGACCATGCACATAGTCCGGGGTTCGATCCCCGACGGACGCACTCCTTTACCTCGCTAAGCTAGTAATAGAACTGGCAAAGAGGGAAGGTTGGGCATGAGGCTAGCAACCACATCCTGTAAAATAAACGCCACTGCTACCGAAACTTCAGGCCTGCAACTTGAAGCCCTATGTTCCACTGGGAACGTGAAGGAATAATAAGAAAAGTAAGGTCAGAGTGTAACTACAGAAGACAAGGGCCAAGCAACACATCCTTTATTGAGAAAATCAACAGATATTTATAGATTTTTATGTATATTATTGTTAGCGTTATAGCTAGCAGAGAAGCAAAGTCTCCTGATTGGTTGTTTTGCTGCTGAAGGTTATTCTGTACTACCTGTGATCGTTTCTTAGAAAGTTAAGCCATATATCTGCGAATCGTATTTGCACACGTTAAGTCTGCCGTGATTAGTTGGTGATTTCCTCAAGGTTAGACTTTGTTATTGTTTTTCTCATTACCGCGATTCCGGACGTAAACGCTGACGTAAACTGTTGTCTACAATTTTGGTTTGCAGACAGCTTTCACCACAAGAGGATTAAGCTACACCAAGGTATTTTGTGTTAGACCTAGTTTCTATTAGAGTCCTCACGATGCCATTATCGGCAGCGAGTGAGAGACATAGAGAGGATGGAAACCAAAAAGAAGCAAGGATAGAAACGCCAAGAAACGCCAAACCATACCTTTTTTGATAAACAACCGGATCAATACACAGATGACAATTTTCTACATCAATTTCTTTTGATAACTTTTTATTTCTCAAAGTCTATAAAGGAATAAAAGGCAAAAACAGGAAAATTCACTTTTAAAGGTAGCAAACGGTACTCTTTCGATACCTTCTCATCAAAAATTTAATCACACTCTCAATCTGCACACAGCTCAAAGGAGATGAGATTTCATCGCCATTTCCTCTGGAAGCTCAAATTATTGCTCAGATCACAAAATATTTGATCTGCTAGCTAGCTAGTTACCTAGTTAGCTAGCCAGCCAGATACCGGTGATCTACGCACCAGACAGCTGTTTCGCTTCGTTTGAAGCCTAACTCGTCAGTGGTCAACCCGGATTAACTCGGCTCAGAGGGTTGAATTATGACTTTAAATCACCGAATTTCTACCTAGCTACTTGGATTAACTGTTAATAGGTTTGAAAAAGTGAAAAGCTAGATAGTGTTTCTTGAAGATGATAGGAAATACCATTAGAAGTCAAATATTAATGTCGGTTGGTAGTAAGATGTGCTACAGGATTCAACGAATATGCACAGATGACTCACTCGAAGTTGAGAAAACACTGCTGACACAAATTGAGTGAAGAACTATGCATTTCTTCACTTCATTTAGTTCCGCATCATAGACTGGCTGGCTCTACACTAATATATAGCTTTTTATATCAAAATATTTTACCGATCAGGTGGTTATTTTATTTAATCAATTTTAGGTATAGGCGGGTGGGTGAAATTAAGAGGTTAGAGGTCATCAAAACATCAATTAACTAATAGATGTTAGTAGCAAGATATCTAAGTGGTAAAAGAGGGGTGAAAGTTAACTAATATTCGTGACCTACTAAGTAGAAACGGATATGTGACTACATTTTGAACGAATACGTGAACTCAGCAAATAAAAAGTCGAATGTGGCCACTGTTCCCAGAAAGTCAGTCTTCCTAAGATTAAAATTCACTGGTAATGTTATTAGGGAGATCTTACCACAACGTCTGAGAAGGGCCTTCAAAAGGACTTTCAACGCAGGTACATTATGCTGTATATTCACTAGCCAACCAATACTTAGTTCAAGAAATAAAGACAGACTGTCCTGCTTCACCTCTTCCATGTGTATTTGCCAGCTACACTCGGCGTACTATCAGGTAAGTTCACCGTCGAATTTCTACACACCTCCCATCTTGGTTTGGTCCGAATAAAGAGATACGCAGTTCAGTACTAGCTCATCTCGTCGACACTGACTGGACATCAGATCAACTCTAAAAAAGCTTCTAAAGTTATTTATCGTGTATCACCCAACCTTTCGCTGCATGGTCTATGAGTACGACTTTTACATAAATACAGCAGAGACAATTGGAGTTTATCCGAACAAGCCAAATCTGAGTGTGCGTTCAAAAGAAATTTGTACAGTCTCTTTCTTTGCCATGACCAACTACATAATATATATTGAGTTTTTCTTAAAACGATTTCTTCCCCTCACCTTGTAACTATCTTTTAACTTAGTTATTTTTTACGAAGAGATATGTTCTGCTTTTAACACTGAGTGTGAAAGTGTCAGTCATCCACATATCTCCAGTAAATTTTTCGAGTAGCACCAAATATTCTATTGAGAGTAATATTTTCCCGATTGTCCACAAAAATATCTGCTACGATAGGGGATATTGGTGATCCATCCCATTGCTACACTTTCTGTTTGTCTATAAAGTTTGCCTTGGAATGTAGAGATAGTAGATGTGAGACAGCATGACCGAATTCCTAAAATAATTTTGTCAGTTTTGTCCCATGAGTAAGTTCAGGATCTGCAGTTAGTTCTCTTTCAACTGCTTCTAAGGCCATATTGATTGGTATATTAGTATAAAGACTGGTTTTATCAAAACTAACCATTGTTTCGTCATTCTCTAGTTGAATGTCATTTAGTTTCTTTTTCATCTCATATGAAACAGTTAGTTAATTAGTTAGCCTAGAATTTGAACGATTTCTAATGGGAAATAATACTAGAGCTAAGTGTTTCGATAATTCATAAGTAGGGGTATTCCTGAAAGCTACTATTGGTCGTATGGGGTAACCTGGCTTATGCATTTTAATAGTACTTTTACTTTTTTTACTATACTTCGGCTATCTCCTACGGGAGGATAAGCCGGCTTCATAAACATCTCGAATCATCGCTGCCCAGGCGCGGCGATCGTTTGTAAGAGAGTTCATGAAGTTTCATGGGAATTTGGTACGAGTGATGTCCCCAGAGTCGCTCGGCCTTTTGTTTGAGAGTGCAGCTCTAGCCTTTACACAACCAAGTGTGACCTACAAGGCAGTAGGAGTGGAGTAGGGAGTCCACTATCCATTGGCAGCCGGTGACCAGAGTTCGGTTCATACACCTTTTTGAACGGGGTCAGACATCCAGGACATCCAACAAGCCCTTTGTCCATACGTCTGCCGGTGAGCTCCAGTGAGCTTCATACGCCAGTCGTTGGAGGTTTGGAATCAGGGTTTAGCCATCTCCCCTAGACTGTCATCCAATGGACAGTCAACCCGGTGAAGAGCGCCGGGCATCCTACTAGCATTATTAGTTTTAGGCATTAAATTGAAGCATTTCGACTCTCCCAATGACTGCTTCATTCTGCGTATTAATTCCACTGTAGATTTCTTAATCTTATTCATTATTGTATCTATAGGCTTCTTAATTTCTTCATATGGACGGACCAGTCTCAATATGTTCAAAGACATGCTTGATATAGTCAGATTTATCCGAAACTATTGTCGAGTTTCCTCTATCAGCTTTTGTGATGACGATGTTTTTGCCTCTTTTGAGACTAATTAGAGCTAGTCTTTCCGATTTTGTTAAGTTTAATTTTGGTTTCTTTTGATTTCTCAGGGTTAACGCACATTGTGCTCGAACGTCTTCTGCTGTCTGTTGTCTTATCTATTAAACTTAATGTTACTTCTGTGTTAGGAATGACATCCTCTGGTTTTAGTTTGCTAACCGCTACATTGAAATTTAATCCTTTTTCAAGCAGTTTTATCTCACTAGAGCTCAACCCTCTCGATGAGAGGTTGATCACCCATATAACACTGTGTGACTTTATCAATATATATTTTAACCATAATGGAATTAAGCTGTACCACAATGCCCAAGTTTCATGCTTATATCAATGAAAGGAGAAATTGAGTATAATTTATAACGCACTGAACAAAAAAGTGAATAAGAGTGATAAGAAAGACAAGAGATGCAATTACAACACTTTGGTAACTAAAGCAGAACAGGTTGTCGGTAAAAGAGACTTCACAGCATTGTATCAAATAATCAGGTCATTATCCTGGAAGAGATCAACACAGATGATGCCAATGAAAGATAGAGAAGAAAAACCGAATTACAAAACATGTGGAACACGGGCAACATGTAGGCGATTACTTCGAAGGACTCAAGAATCGACTACCACCACCACAACAGCACCCACCTGCAACTCTTCCAGAAATACCACTAGCAGACACAGAACTCGCCAGTGAACTCCAATCTTAAAGGTCATTGAGTTACTAAACGTCAGAAAATCTACAGGAACAGATATGATCCTCCGCATCTACCAGAAGCTCTGAAAAAGAAGCCAGAGATATCAGCAGACATGAGTCACAGTGGAAGGAAGGGGAGGTACTTGCCAACTAAAACAAGACTACCATGGTAAACTCCCAAAGAAGGACAAGAACTGTCGCGGAATCATGCTCTTGTGTATCCCAAGCAAAATTTTGAGCCACATTATCTTAGGACAACTAAAACATGCTCTAAATGGAAAACTCCTCGGGGAACAGACTAGTATCAGGAAAAACAAGTTAAATGAGGATCGAATTGCGGCATTATGAACCATCGTCGAACACAATATAGAATAGCAGTCAACTCTCTACCTGAACTTTATCCACCTAGGGAAGACATTCGAAAGTGATTCGGTTCTCTAAACTGTATCGTATCGACTATAACGCTGATAAACTCACTGCAAAACTATCGAAATGGCTCTCAACTTGATATTTAGATGAACATCACTTTTTACGTGTTGATGACGGATTGATATCACTTAGAGAACCATTGAAAACCAGTACTGGAGTACTGGACGACTGTTTCATCCTAGGAAGAGGAAGTGAAGAGCCATTAAGTAGAGGAGTTGCATTAGTAGAAGGAAGGTAAGATAATAGAGATGAAGATGAAGACAAAGGTGAGTGAGGAATAGAGAGGTATCGTGTGCTCTTCGGGTTGTGAGAGCGATTGTTACTTCCCGGCTGCCCACACCGTGGAAGTTGGTTGCGTGACCGCAGAGCCCAGGGGACAACTGCTTGAGGCCGGTCACACACGGCCTGTTTTTGTTTGTTCTTTTTTATTTGGTGTGTCTCAGTAGCGTATTTATCACTTCTGCCCTGTGACACGGCAGCAGAAAGCGCGGTCGTTGTTAATCCGGGCCCCGACCGATCCAGCATGATATTTTGTGATTTATTTGAAGTCATAGGATTGGATTGGGTAATTGCTTTTAGTCTAACCGCTATCCAAACAACCTTTCTGGCATGGTAAGACCTGCAGGAACATAAGTTCCAGCCAGTATAGCTTGTTGGGTCATTGCGGTGTTCAAGCCCGACCACCACGTCAAGGTAGCAGCTTTCGGTCGGGCATTACTAGCTGATATAGGTGCAGGTTGGAAAAGAGTAAGTGGTGCCATGCCAAACAAAAACATGGCATCAATCCATGAAATCCCTGACAGTTAAACTGAGTCAGGTAGGGAGGGAGATGCAGACTTCCGGGTTGGGGCCCGCCCTCGGGACTCTAAGAATCAATGGCTGGAGACAATAGGTGGTGACATGGCTCAAAATCGTTGTCAATGGCTTACGCAGATGTATTCAGTCTCTTTAACCTTCATATTCCTTTCTATCATTACTCATTCTGTTTCACTCTTATACTTATCTAAATTCTATTGATTCTCTTCACTCATTTTCCTGTCTACCTTTGTGTGCTATTTGGAACGCGGCAACTCGAACTGCTGCACTTCGGTGCCAAGTTCTATGTTGAATCCAGCAGCAGCAGTTTCATCCTAGGTAGGGAATCATCGGCAGTACATACCCACCACTAGGGTTCGAATCCACGATCTTCCGGTTACAAGGCAAGCTAACTTGTACGCCATTCAGCCACTGGGACCCGAATGAATGGCTCATGAACTCTAACTTCTACCAATTCGTGCTGCATTTAGCGCGACCCCAACTGATATCAATCTGTGATCAACTCGTAAAAACAAAACTAACCCTTACAAACCAACTTTAGAAAATTAATCTGATGCTCGCTAGTGACTTACTACAGGAGTGAGTTTCCTGGAGTTCTAGTAAGAAGTCGTGACCAGTAGGGTCCATCCAGTCTCGTGTGAGGATGGAGTTCCCACCGACGACATTGGTTAGTGCCAGTCGGGCTAAGTCACGAATTGGTAGAAGTTAGAACTCATGGGCTGGCCATTGAATTGGGTCACAGTGGTTGAATGGTCGTCAACGAGCCTGCCTTGTAAACGGAAGATCGTGGATTTGAACCCTGTTGGTGGGTACGCATTGCCGATGATTCCCAAACTAGGATGAGACAGCTGTCCAGTACTCCCTGGTTTTTAGTGGTCGGTGCTCTAACTGATATCAATCCGTGATCAACTCGTAAAAACAAAACTAACCCTTACAAAGCAACTTCAGAGAATATCAATTTGGGCAGTAAGTACTACCGGTCAATGTGAGTGACTCTCAACTACTACTCATATGAAATTAGTAGTATGTACCACCATGTATATCCATTGAAAATAAGGAGGTTAAACAGGAAAATTTAGCATATATATATACATATATATATATATATATATATAACTTACTCCTGTTGTTCGTTTAAATGAACCGCATAAGCCAACTTCATTGATTGGACATTTAGAACAATTCGGTTGTTTTGGTGTACAACACACGGCGCCTAATTCCATTAGAGCTTGATTAAAATCTCCTGGCCTGTTAGGATCAACTAACTGGTTAGCTAAATTCCATAGATATTCTATTGTTGTAGGCAGCTGGACAGGTGAACCAATTTCACGTAGACGAGTTAACACACGAATTACGTTGCTGTCTAAAGCAGCCGTACACTACAATAGTAATAATAATAAGGAAATATATGAAAATAAATTATTTTTTAATGACAAATTTCGAGAAATGAACCAGTAGCAGCAATATCAAGTTATATCACGCAGTGATATCGGTTAGAGAACTACTGAGAACTAGGAAGGAATGAACAGCTTCGTCCTAGTCTAGGACTCATCAACAGTAAGTATCCATGACTCCACCGAGGACCGAAACCCAGGTGAGTATATCACCATTCAGCCACTGGGTTGACAGTCAATGACTCACGAATTCTACGTTCTGTGAATTCACGAAAGATGACGCTACTACCAGTCAATGCCGTAGGCGAGTATCTATCTCCACACCATATTTATTTATTTATTTTTATTTTTTATTTTGATTTACAGCTTGATTCCACACCGTATTTTCAGTACAGGTATGGAATTTTCAGCATGGAAATCGGTAGCCCAAATTCAGGCCGGGTATGCGCCGGCAGGGGATCGAACTCCGGACCATGTGCATGGTCGGCGAGAGTCCTAACCACTGTGCCACCGACGCACAGAATACTACCAGGCCTAACCTCTCACTTAAACTGCAGAAACTTCATTCCATAGTGAGTCACTTATGAGTAGCATAGATTTGCAGTAATTTCAAGTTAGATTACGAAATGACAAACTAAGGAGATTTGGACAGCTGTTTTGCTCTGGTTTGAGACTCTTCATCAGTAGGCATACTCGGCTTTAAGTTTCACTAGACTAACTGGCTGGTTTTAACGTAGGACCGATGTGCAGCAGTTCGAGTCGCCACACTCCCTGCTTGTAGCACACAAAGCAAGAGAAGAAAGTAAAAAAGAAATGCGAAACAGAGACAATAAAGAGAGATATGAGGCAAAAAGAATAGTAATATCGAAGAACAATATAGTTTCATTGGAAATTATAAGTCGCAAGGAGTGGATGTGTCTGTGCCAGCCAGCTATTGAGAACGATTTTGCGGTATATCACTAATTGTATCCAGCCTTCATTGGTTCTTACCGTCCCGAGGACCCCAACCAGAAAGTCTACACCTTCCTACGTGGCTGGCTGGATTAAACTAACTGTTGCGGATTTCATTGACTGATGAAGTCATGTTTTTGTTTGACACCACTACCTCTTTCCTAACCTAACCCTATGTCAGCTAACATAATCAGTCGAGGAAGGCAGGCGATGGCCAGGCATGCGTAACACATGTTTTAACCATCGCCTAAATTTTTTTTTATTATTTTGATTACAGCTTGATGCCACACCGTATTTCCAGTGCAAGTATAGAATTTTCAGCATGGATATCGGTAGCCCAAATTTTGCAGGCCGACCATAGATATCGGGTGTGCGTCGGCAGGAGATCGAGCCCCGGACCATGTGCATGATCGGCGATGTAACTTCACAGCCTCGCCGATTGAGTTCCCCTCCTTACACCTAGTACTCGACCGATGCCTGACCTCAATATTGGTCACCCTATTATACCACTTTACTAGTGGTGGTGCTTGCTTTAGTAAGGTGGGACTGTTAGTCTAACAACCAGCCTTCCGCCTTTTTTGGGTTTACTATTGGCTACAGTAGATCTAGGAGAATGCGCTGGCAAGAAAACGGACCCGGACATCATGCGTAATTGGAGAATATTCTGTCCCTGAACTACTGACGCATAGGTCATAGACAAAAGGCGATAACTAACACCATATTAATAACTTAATACACTGAATTTTGAATTGAGCATAGTTTTCACTAAGAAAAGTTTCAAAGTATCACAAATTTCAGTAAATTGAGCAGGATCATTTTATATGGGGTAATGATACCACCAACTAGAGTTTCTTTACTCTTGATAAGTCATTTGAGTCGTATCTACCAAGTAAACCAATAACGATACTAGACACCCATATCACCTTCGATAAATTAGAGTGAGCTTTGAACCCATGATTTATTGTACTGCATTTATATCATAAGCTCAGATAAAAGTGCAACACTTCCTTACAGATACTTACTAGAGGATTAAGTTCCAACTTAGAGCTTTGCACAGAAGTACAGCAGTTCAACCTACCATACTCCTTGTACCATACAAAAGACGAAAAGCGAGATTCGAAAGAGTGGTTATGATAATAATAATAATAATAATAATAATAATAATCACAAATGTGTCGGAGAATGAACAGTAAAATGGCAAAAAAATGAGGATTCAACAGATGTGCGAGATAGAAAAGAGTGAATGCATCTGCACCACTAAGAACGATTTTGAGTTATATCACCAGTAGTTTCTACCCAGTGGCTCTTAGTATCCTGAGGATATTAACCAGACAGCCTACATCTTCTTACACGGCTCAAACTATCTCATGCAGTCAGCCAGGTGAAAGATTACGGCGAGTTGTTATCTGAAGTGGTGACAACTAGCGGTGTCTGTCAGGGATGCCCACTATCTCCAAATCTATTCAATTTCATCATAGATGTACTAATGGAATTACCCTAACTCACTTCAGTGACTCAGTGATTGACTTGCTACCAGGGAATAATCTGGTTGACTTAGAGCATGCAGATGATATAGTCCTCCCTCCTACGCGAATACGCAGACAAAATACAGCAGTCTTCTAAACACCTTGAGGAGCAGCAATCTTCGAATGTTTGGCATATGATTCGCTCCTGTCAGTCAAATGTAAGATGATGCTACAATACGGCACTACACTGACTCCTAGCTTGGAAACAAGGAGTGAAGTGGCTGGTGGAGCGTGTTGACCACTTCACTTATTTAGGAAGTTGCATTAGCCAACGCCAGTGGATTGATTTCTGACGAAATCTCAGCACGGATACAGAAGGCTCATTTCGCATATGCCAGTTTACGCCGTATCTGGCTTAGTAGACGTGATATCCGGCTAGCTGTCGACCAAAGGGCGTGTGTACTGTACTGCTCAGCAGTTCGCTCTGTCCTCCTTTATGGCTGTTAGTCAGACTTGGTCAATCAAAGTGGAAGACACGAAAAGCCTACCTATCTGTCTTCGATCACAAGTGCCTGCTTTCTACCTCCGGTGTGAAATGGTATAATAGGGTGGGCAATATTGAGGTTAGGCGTCGGTCGACTGCTAGGTAAGGACGGAAAAGAAACCAACGAGGTTATGAAGTTACACCGACATGTGCGACGCATGCCTGGCCATCGCCTGCCTTCCTCGACGGGCAATATTAGCTGACACGGCGTCAGGCTGGAAAATAGTCGATGATGGTCAAACCGAACCATGGTTTCATCAGTCAATGAAATCGATAACAATTATTTTAAGGCAGCCAGCCATATAGTAAGGTGTAGAGTTCCCGATTGGCTGGTTTGGGTCCTTGGGAAGGTAAACACAAATGGCTGGAAACAATTGGTGGGTGGTATGGCTCAAAATCGTTCTGTGATGGCTGGCGCAGATGCATCTACTCCTCGTTACCTATAATATCCAATAAAACTATTGTTCTTCCATGTTACTATTCTTTTTGCCTCAAATCCATGTGTACTGTCCCTGTTTTGCATTTCTTCTACTCTCTTCTCTTGCTTTGTGTGCTACAAGGAGGGAGTGTGGCGACTCGAACTGCAGCACATCGGTGCCAGGTAGTTCCACGTTGAAACCAGTCAGTCAAACCAACTGGCAAAGTCCTCATGGATGGATATCAGAATTTGCCTTGATCATCTCTACCCCTCTGCAACTCAATCCCATTTCAGGTAGCCTTGTTTGTCGACGAAGGCAACGGCTAGGCATGCACAACGCGTGTCCTTTCATAAACTCATCAATTAACTTACCTTCCTTACCTAGCAGTATAAGCCTTACTTCATTATTGCTCACCATATTACACCAATTAACATGGGAGACAGAACGCAAACATCTGTAGTCAAAGACAACTACTCTTTTCATGGCTCCCAAATCAATGACTACATCTGACAGCCATAAGGGAAGACAGAGTTAATTACTGCACAATACATACACACCCTTTGACCGATACTCAGACATCACGTCTACGCTAGAGATGACATACGTTGGCAAATTCCACACCAGACCTTTTGCATCATCCATGCTGAGAATTCGTTAACAATCATTCCATTCTATCTGCTGATCTTTCCTGGTCGTCTCATATCTTGATGATTTCTAGAAAAATATTCCGTCTTACCTTCTACATCAAGAAGTTAAGACATTCTGGCATAACCCAACCCTTACTCCTACAATTCGTTAACTCTTGCATCCTGCCTATTATTCTCTATTGTTCCCCCTTAGTTTTTCCAGGGCTACTGAAGAAAGACTTTATCTTATTACGCAGGGTGTTAAAGGTCGTCCGCAGGGTAAGCAACGTGCCACTTAACCAGCTTGTTAATATTCTGGTTGACAGGCACTTGGACTCATGCGAAAAATGGGCTAAATCCATCTTATCTAACTCACACCACCCTCTTTATTCACAACTCTCCCTTTGTATCTCATCAGGCAGGACTAGAAGCCTATATAGAAAACTATATGCTCGCACTAGCAAGTACAAAAACTCAACCATACCCTACTTGGCTCGTGTTCTGTGCGATAAAGAAAGCATTAGGCGTGACACCTATAATTCATTGATTAGTCGGTAGTACAACTCGATCTCGTCTTTCCAACCCACATCATCAATAGGTACAACATTTTCTTTCTTTCTTTTCCTTTACTCTTTTTTTGTTTTTTTCTCTTTCTTACAAACCTCACTTGAAACATTTTTTGTGTGCTGTTTTGTTTCTCTCTACCTTACAAACTCTACTTAAAACATTCTTCTTCGTTCTTTCACACTTTGTATATCTCGACCTTTTGTTACCGCTTACGCCAGTAAATATACTTTTCTAACACCTTCAAACACTGTTCAATTTTGACTTTATTGTTAATGTACACAAACTGGATGCAATACTGTGGTAAAATGCTGAGAATTCCATTATGTATCACAAGTACTGTTTTGGAATAAAGCAAATTATTATTGTTATTATCAGTATAACTGATACGAATGTATCTAAGGTGGGAGGAGGGCGGATGGACAAAACTTGGCAGAACTAACCATTTGACAAAAAAATAAATTGAAACCTCCTTATTAATAATTATGTCTAAACATATAAAAGATATATATATACCTGATTGAATGCAATGCTTGATATAGCTCCAGCTGTATATCTTCCAACACCGGGTAGTGTAGACTTCAATGCCTCTGCTGTATGCGGTAGATTTCCATTACATTCATTAACAATCTACACATATATATGTGTGATGAATTGATGCATTGATTTGAAAATTATCGAACCTTTTTTGCACCTTCATGTAATAGACGAGCTCTGGAATAGTAACCCAGACCAGACCAAACAGAATTAACATCCTGTGTTCATCATCATCTAATCAGCTAAACAGTATTACTCAAACATACATCTAAAGAGGCGGATGCCAATTCTTGAACATTAGGCCATTTCTAAAGTAATGAAACAGAAAGAAAAAATATTCGTCTCCAATAGTTTGGTGTGTACAAACCTTCATCCATCGGTTATAATAGTCGATAACAGTTTTAACTTGTGTCTGCTGGAGCATAACTTCAGATACCCAAACTAAAAAATAAATATGCATGACAATAATAATAATAATATAGCGAAAATATTCATTCAAACATCTATAAAACACAAAATAATTGAGCAAAGAATATCCTTTCCGATAATTTCCTCCTCTTCTGGCTCTACAATTATATATACATATCTTTATATACATAGAATATTCTAGAAATGTAGTCAATAACAATATTAGTGTGATTTTCAAATACTATCGATTTGTTAAGTAAAGTCAAAATGGAATTACAGTTCATTAAAGATACTTAAATTATAATGATAATAAAATAATAACAAATAGAATATCAACTGAAATTAGGGAGATTTCTACAAAAAATTGAGGATCATTCGAACCAAAATGGACTGCAAAGTAGGGAAAATGTCTGAATTAGCTTCTTTTGGACGCATAAATTAGACTTCTTAATATGGATCCCAACAGCCAGCCTCAGCAATATTTAGTAGTCAAACTCTTAATGCGGAATTTAGATTTGTTGGTATGCGTCGTCGAATTTCCGAACATCATCTTGCACAGTGCTTGGTTAAGTAAAGGACAAATAAAATCTATTCGCAAAGAGCTATTCTATATCATCTTGTGGATACAGAACACAGGATTGATGTCAAAGTCATCTACCGCATACCAACAAATCTCAATTTCACCTTAAGAGTTCGACCACTGAGGCTGTTGGGATCTATACTAAGAAGCCTAATTTGTGCGTCTAAAAGAAGCTGGTTCAGACATTGTCCCTACCTTAATATATGTGTAAAACTTGGGCACTGTGGTAGTAAGTAATTCCATATTAGTTTGTTTATTAGATTTATTGCACAGTAAAATAATATTATTTACTGGATGACGTTTCGAATAAAATTTATTGTTCATAATCATATCAATTGTGATCACACGACTTTGACACTTGAGTTTTATAGTTTTCTTTGTTCTCTCCTATTCGTCGTATGGGTAGTAGAATTTTCCAAATATCGGGGACAGGTGATGAATCATTCCTATTACATGTATTTGTAGTTGATTCGATAAACAAAGCTTCTGTTATCAATCTCTCCCTATACCCTGTGACATTAGATTTTAAAACTGTCATCCTATCCCATCCTATTGTATGGTTGTGTGTGACTGCATGTAGTGCTATGGCTGAACTATTCTCTAGATTTCTCATCTTATTCGGGTCAACCAATCTAGATTTTGCCAAGTTTTTATGTTCAGCTAGTCTGACTGCCCCTGTTCTACTAGTTTGACCTATGTATTTGACCTGACAATCATTGCAGGGTATTAGATAAACTAAATTGTTTTGTTTCAAAGGCTCTACAGGATTGATCCTTCAGCCGACAAAGCTTGTTTCTAATCGAGTTTGTGGGTTTGAATGCCGTTTTTATTCCTGCCTTGTTGAGAATTCTGCGTAAGGCTTCCGAGGTTCCTTCCTTGTATGGAATTACTACTGATGATTTAGATTCTTTATTGTTGGTGTCGTCACTAATATTATTATTATCATTATCACTGTTATCATTATCATTATTATTGTTATTATCACTATTTATTTTATTTTTACATTTCCTAACATATTTCCTGACTCATTTATCCGGGTAATTATTAAGTTTCAAGGCTTCTTTTATGTGTATCAGTTCCTGTTTTATATTTTCTTTGGTACTACTTAGTTTTTGTGCTCTATCATTTAAACATTTCACCAATCCTATTTTTACTGACATAGGATGGGACGATCGGAAGTCCAAATATCTGTTTGAGTGTGTGGGTTTCCTGTAAACACTAGTGTGTGTTTAACTTCCCATCTTCTTTCCTTTATACGTTGCAATCTAACATTGGGAGCTCCCCCTTCTGATTTTCCAATTCACAAGTGAATTCAATTGCTTTAACCTTCGAGTTGATGTGCTCGAAAAACCTCTCTATATCCTGTGTTCTAAGTACAGTGAGTGTGTCATCTACGTACCTCCAACATACTTTTCGGGTGGGGGTGAACGTTTCGATCACTATGCTTTTCCACTTATCCATGAATATATCTGCTACCACTGGGGATATAGGTGATCCCATGGCAACTCCCTCAGTTTGTTTGCATATTTTCCCTTGGAATTTAAATACTGTGGAAGTCAGGCATAGCTGTACTCCCAGCATTATGTCCTGAAGTGGCACTTTCGTCCTAATTTCGAGTTCTTGGTCAGAAATTAGTTCGTTCCTGACTGCCTCCGTAGCCATTTTTAGTGGTATACGTGTATTTAAACTGACAATGTTAAAACTGACCATTTTCTCTTCATTATCTAATTTTAAATTATCTAATCTATGTTTTATTTCATAAGAAATTGTTAGTCTAGATTTCGAGTGGATTTTTAGGGGATTTAATACCACGGCTAAATATTAAGATAATTCATAAGTAGGTGAATTTCTAAAATCAACTATAGGCCTCACCTTGGCCATCCAGGTTTGAATGATCCTCAGTTTTTCTAGAAATTTCCTAATTTTAGTTGACATTCTATTTGCTACTATATCTTCATTATTATTATTATTTAAGCATCTTTAATGGACTGTAATTCCATCATGATGTAACTTAACAAATCGATATTATTTAAAAAACACGAATATTGTTTCATACATTTATTCCCCTTACCACACCTGTATGGCCTTCCGAATATACGCAAAAAACAAGTCCTCCTGAGACCTATACTTTCGATGATCAACTCGCCCCAACATAAAGTTGCACGTTGGCTTGCAGAGAAGTTGGAACCTATTCGTCAAAGGTTAGCCGTGCACACTATGAAAGACTCATTTCATTTCTCTGAAATTGTGAACCACATGAACGTTTTAAATAAGTTCATGGTGTCATTTGATGCAATCTCCTTGTTCACACAATGATTCCAATCAACGAAACTATTGAGATCATTTGTCAGCAGTCTGATCTTCTCCCACTCCCAGTGTCGGAATTCAAACGCCTACTGCTAATGTGTACTAACTGAATGTGCAATTCCAATTTGACAACACTCTTTATCGCCAAATAGATGGTGTAGCTATGGGCAGTCCACTTAGCCCTGTTTTAGCAGATATATTCATGTCCAACCTTGAAAAAACAAAGTTGAAGCATGCAGTCGACGAAACAAATTCCTACCTACTGTCGATATGTTGATGACACATTTATGTAGTGTGCAACAATGAAAGTCATGCTTTCTACCAACCTACTCAGATTATTCAATGATGCACACACCAATATTGAGTTTACTATGGAACATGAAAGTGACGGAAAGTTCCACTTCCTCGACATTGCTATGCATTGCCTAGAAGACGGTAGTCTTCAGAAGTCAATTTATCGAAAGCCTATTAATATTGTTATTGACTACTAATCTAGAATATTTTATGTATATTAACATATTCATGTATAATTATGGATAAGGCATTAAGAAGACAAATTTCGCGAGATGATATCGTCATCTCGTAGTTTCTCTACAACCGCTTTACAACTAACATGGTTAACAATAATAAAATAAAGTTCATGACAATTACTCAGTTAAATAAAAACAAAAGTACATACTAATGACCAATCATATTTAGATAGGTCAAGTAGTCCAGGGTAGGCGAAGATTGAAGTCTATTGATTTTTGTACACACAGTTTAGGCTGTATGTGATTAATCCAAAGTGTTTCCATCACCTTTAATAACCTTGAATTAGAGTTTTGTGAAATAATTGTAAAACAGTCACTAATATTGATTTTGTGACCTGACATTAATAAGTGTTTTGCAATGGATGATGCTGGATTTCTATTCAAATTACTGGCATTGGGATTTTCTATATGATTTAGTAGCTATTTTGGAACATGTTCTTTTCGACGACATTGGAACATTCTGTTGGTTCTACCTATATAGGTGTCACCGCAGCTGCAGGTGAACTTTTAGATACAGTTTGAAGTAAAGTCAACAGAATTTCGTCCTTTAATCGTAGGTACAGGGATCGCAAATGTTCGGCACGTGAGAAAAAGAGATGTGGCGTAGAATGTGCGTTTGATGGCTGACCGAAGTCTTTGAGCTGTCAAGTGCATAATCAAGTCACCTTTGAATGGTAGGTTAATAAAGATAGATAGCTTTCTTTGGTACAGAAGCTGTCTTTTCGAGATGTGGTCTTTCTTTACTGTGACAAGTGATAAAGTTTTCCGGATAACCATTAGCTAATAAAACTGAATTTATCAAACGGACTAATTGTTTTAATATAATTATAGAGCCAGAAGTGGAAATTATCGGAAAGGATATTCTTAGCTCACTAATAATAATAATAATAATAATAATAATAGTAACAAAAAGGAGAAGAAGAGCTGAACATACCTGCATAACCACGAATATTTGGATCCGGATCTAATGCCTATTAGGATCATATTTTAAGGTTAAACACACACAAAACAAAAAGATATGCTTTACCATTTGACGCCATGGTAGATCACGTTTACATTTATCATACCATAGGAGTAGAGCTTCTCGCGCTTTCTTAATTTCACTGGACGTGAATGAATGTATTGAACTGTAGAGAATGTGATGAATAATTCGACTTTTTTATTATAGTGAAACATACCACATAATTGAAAAAGACTTTGAGAGGGTAGAGGTTGATTATGATGATTTATAACAGCATGCTAGTGAGAAAGAAAGAAAACAACGTAGGAAATATGTCAGGACATTGCTTGAGCTGAAAAGGTTACGCAAGTCATTAGACGATGGTAACACCAAGTAGCCTTTTCTTCATTATTATTATTACTATTATTTTCTTTATCGATGAAATCATCTTCAGAGGCTGTACAGTCGTATTTATACTTACAAAAATATATAGTGGTCTATTATTGAGTGTGTGTATGTGAAGGATAAACTGCCGCTTTGGGCCACCTCAGTGTGTGTTTATAAATTCACCTGCTCGTGTGGAGCTAGTTATATTGGCCGCACAAAGCGCACGCTTTCCAAACGCATCTCTGAACATTATCCGACAGGGTTAGCAAAGGGACAGTGTAAGACAATTACTAGCTCAGTTCTCGAGCACTTGGTGGTCTCAAGCCACAAAGCTCCACCAGAGTCGTCTTTCAAGATGATCTTCAAGGTGAAGACAAATTATACAAAGGGCGTCAGGTTTCGGCTTTTGTGTATGACGGAGGCGCTGGCAATTCATCAATACAACCCTGAACTCTGTATACAGAAAAAGTTTGTCCAGTCTCTTATTCTACCTTGGTCGTAACCTTCTCACTAATCGTTCCCTGTTAAAAAATTTTGATTTTTTTTCTTTTCTCTTTTGTAATTTTTAATTCGCTTTGATAATTAATTAACTATTATCACTCTCATATGCTCCTTTTGTATATTTTCACACCCTCTTCACACTTGTTAAATTGGCACTTAACTACCACTTTCCTTCTCACTCAATAGCAATTTTAACCTTATCAAATTTCTATCCTTGTTCCGTTGAGTACCACGTAATTTACAACTTCTATTTTTACTTCTAAAGCCACTTCTGAGTTATCATATCAATTATGTCACCCCCTATTACTCAATAACAGACGACTATATATTTTTGTAAGTATAAATACGACTGTACAGCCTCTGAAGATGATCTCGTCAATAAAGAAAATTTTCTTCGCTGAATCTGTCTTTTATTTTCTTCATTACTATTATTATTCCATTAGTATCGAAGAGGAAAATAGGGTTTCAATAAAACACCTCTATTTCAACCCATTCTTAGATTCATAGTCGCCCACCCACGCACCCACACGTCTCTTCCCATTGAGGTTCTACTCGAAGGCCTCCCACACTCTCAAGAGATAGGAGATTTACCTGCATGTATACATATACTTAACAGACCTTATCAAGAAACAGTCTACTGAATTGCAGTCAAGTAAATGGAGTTGTGGCGGCAGGAAAAACCTTACCGCTTAAGGGCTTTCATTTAGTGAAAATTCGAAATTAGACAATGCCTGAATCGTTGTGGGTGGAGTGTGGAAGCACCATCATATTGAACTAACAGTAGGAAATTGGAAAGTTTTCAATCTGTTAGACTGGGTCAATGAATTTCATTGTAGGCAAAAGACACAAATTCAAGATCAACTCGAAACACTTCATGATAAAAAAGATCCTTTGTACCACAAGGTATTGTACCCGATCCTATCTTATTTATACTACAATAAAACGAAAGATTTAGGATCTCCTTTGGTTCTCTACAGCGATGACCTGAAAATCTGGAGAATGCTAAAGGATGACAGTGATGTCCGTATGCAACAAGGACAGATCGACAATCTTCGATTATTCGAAGAAATGGACTCCCTTCTCAATCAATAAAACGAAGCATGAAACCATGAGCATCTGGCACGGAACTGCCACAGCATACGATATAGGAACAACACCAATCACATCAATTCAGAAGAAGAGAGAGAACTAGGTGTTATCCAGGGAGCAAGTATGCAGGTAAGATTACTGCGATTTCAGAAAGTTTATCAATAGTACTTGAACTTCTCTTTGGAATTCAAATGAAATATGAAGCTCACAAACCATCGATGATGTGAAGCTAATTCGCAACGCTGCGAACTTTGAAAAACGGAGTGAATTTTACACGCTCTTGTTTAGTTTTGGCTTTTGTTGTGTTATACGCTCCAAAAGTCTACAGATTAACTTTAAATCAGTTTATTCTGATCGAAGTTGGTTTACGTCTTAGTTTCGACTCTCTTAAATAATAGGAAGTTGTGTTCCTATTACTTAATAGTTATATATATCTATTTTTGTGCACCTATTGGCCCTTTATCGCTGATTTATCAAGGTTATATACATACAAATAAAGTAATATTTAATTCGTTTTTCCCCAAATCGCTCTAAAAGGCATGCCAATCAAAAGAAACCGCTGCGGAAGGGTTATGTGCCGATTTCCAGTGGATGAGGGAATGCAGTGTGATAACTGCAAGAGATGGTTTCACAGCATGTGCACAAACCTAACTCCTGCAGCATAAAAACGCTGCCGCAAACCTCTGGCAAACTGGCTGTGCAATGACTGCTGTAGTACGATTAGATTTCGTATAACAGAAGCCATTGCCACTCTCAGTGGGGCTCTATAGTTCATGGACTGCAAGGCTCTTCCACAAACCACAGGAGAAGACCGATTACTGCTCAGACACCGATGACGTGACTAGCGTCATCGACGAAACAGCACATGTCCCCATCGCGTCTCTATCAATAAGTGAGTGCCCTTCAGCACAGAAGAGCACCCACCACATTCCAGACACCCAGGCTGCCTCCACGATACTGGATAAGCCCTCCAGTGACAGTAATAGAAAGACTGCTGCGGGTCGAAAACCTGCAGCTCAAGTCGCCCAGGGACTCGTGGATCAAACCTCATCCACACCGGTGAGTAGCAGGCAGATAAATCCTACTACGATTAGCAAGGAGGACGCCAATGAATGGCGTAATGTAGTCTCTCGCAAAAAGCGAGATAAGGATAACACATTGGCTACACCGCCCACGAAGGACAGAAACACGCTTACGCCGCAGAGCAAGAAAGCCACGGCAAGCAAACCTGATCTCTCTGACAGATCGCTCATTCTCCACAAAGTGGAAGAGTCACTGGCCCCGATTCGAGCATGAGCTTAACTTGGTTAAGCCCCTTTTAGACAAGCTACTGCCACAAACAGTATCAGGCATTACTATACACAGCGTATATAGAATCGGCCAAAAGCCTGACCCTACAGTAAATCAGCCTGTACGTCTCCTCAAAGTCGTACTAAACTCGAAAGAAGAGAGGGATGCTATTGTAAGCAACTCTCATATTCTTAAAGGATCAGGCATATATGTCCGCGCCGACTTAAGCCTAGCAGACCGTGTCAAAAGACAGTCTGAGGCCCTAGAATTAAGCGAACGACGGCGAAAAGAACCCTAAGATCAAGGGTTTTCGAGTTGTCCGAGTTCGCAGTTTAATGATCCCGAAACCTCTGTGGGTAGGCCGGGGAAGCACCAAACTGAATTGACAGTTTGCTACACAAACGCCCGCAGCCTGTTGAACAAACCGACTGAACTGGTTGACATGGTAGACTCCGGAAATCCGGATGTAATTATCATCACAAAGACATGGCTCACACCCGATGTCACTGACAACGAAGTTAACCTGCCAAACTTCGAAGTACATAGGGTGGACCGACTAAACCGCAAAGGAGGTGGCGTAGTCATCTACCTCAAGAAATGCCTAACTGTGCGTAGCATCGAAGCACTCGCTCACGAAAGTGAGTCGTGCGAACTTCTACGCTGCAGACTTGAATGCATAGGCCAAGACATTGACCTCATTGCTATGTACCGTAGTTCTGACTGCAGTGCAGATGACTTCCTAATAGAGAAGCTAGGCTTCTGGACTTCGAAATGTCGAAGTCTCGTAGCTGGCGACTTCAACGCCTCAACAGTCGACTGGACGAGCCTTACAACGCCATCTTCAGTCAACTCCTTCGATCATAAACCGCTGGAATCTAGTATATCGCTAGCCCTAGTTCAACATGTCATTAAGTCCACGCGCTATGACTCACAGCACTCCTCTTCAACTCTGGACCTAGTGTTCTCCCACGGTGATGATGTGGATCTCATACAACACCTTACACCTTTAGGAAGAAGTGATCACGCTGTGCTCACTTTCAAGTTCACAGCAACAGCAGCAAGGGCCAAAACCCCAGTTCGACCAAACGTTTGGAAAGCTGACATAAATGCGATCGTCTCAGCAATCAACTGTTACATCAACCCAGAGCCGAAGTAGAGGCCGCATGGAACCAATTTCAACAACTTCACGCCCAAGTATCTGGACATTTTATCTCTTGGTCTGTCCCAAAGGCTCGGAAACCTTGCCCCCTTTCGATAAAGCGAGTGATTCGTAAGTTACTCAGAGGTAAACACAAATGTTGGAATCTGTTTGTCACACTTGAGACTCCTGAGACCAAGAAATTATATAACACTGCTAGGAATAAAGCTATCGCAGAAAGCCGTATTGAAGTTTTGAATGAAGAACAAGAGTGCGATTCGTCTATCGCACCTAAGTGTACAGAAAGACAGTGTGAAACTGCATCTGTACATCAGAGTTCACCTCTTGTATCAGTCAATCCAGAGAGACCCGACCGATAGCTGCCACATTGACGTGGTGGTCGGGCCTCTCTGGATTGACTGATACAAGAGGTGAACTCTGATGTACAGATGCAGTTTCACACTGTCTTTCTGTACACTTAGGTGCGATAGACGAATCGCACTCTTGTTCTTCATTCAAAACTTCAATACGGCTTTCTGCGATAGCTTTATTCCTAGCAGTGTTATATAATTTCTTGGTCTCAGGAGTCTCAAGTGTGACAAACAGATTCCAACATTTGTGTTTACCTCTGAGTAACTTACGAATCACTCGCTTTATCGAAAGGGGGCAATGTTTCCGAGCCTTTGGGACAGACCAAGAGATAAAATGTCCAGATACTTGGGCGTGAAGTTGTTGAAATTGGTTCCATGCGGCCTCTACTTCGGCTCTGGGTTGATGTAACAGTTGATTGCTGAGACGATCGCATTTATGTCAGCTTTCCAAACGTTTGGTCGAACTGGGGTTTTGGCCCTTGCTGCTGTTGCTGTGAACTTGAAAGTGAGCACAGCATGATCACTTCTTCCTAAAGGTGGAAGGTGTTGTATGAGATCCACATCATCACCGTGGGAGAACACTAGGTCCAGAGTTGAAGAGGAGTGCTGTGAGTCATAGCGCGTGGACTTAATGACATGTTGAACTAGGGCTAGCGATATACTAGATTCCAGCGGTTTATGATCGAAGGAGTTGACTGAAGATGGCGTTGTAAGGCTCGTCCAGTCGACTGTTGAGGCGTTGAAGTCGCCAGCTACGAGACTTCGACATTTCGAAGTCCAGAAGCCTAGCTTCTCTATTAGGAAGTCATCTGCACTGCAGTCAGAACTACGGTACATAGCAATGAGGTCAATGTCTTGGCCTATGCATTCAAGTCTGCAGCGTAGAAGTTCGCACGACTCACTTTCGTGAGCGAGTGCTTCGATGCTACGCACAGTTAGGCATTTCTTGAGGTAGATGACTACGCCACCTCCTTTGCGGTTTAGTCGGTCCACCCTATGTACTTCGAAGTTTGGCAGGTTAACTTCGTTGTCAGTGACATCGGGTGTGAGCCATGTCTTTGTGATGATAATTACATCCGGGTTTCCGGAGTCTATCATGTCAACCAGTTCAGTCGGTTTGTTCAACAGGCTGCGGGCGTTTGTGTAGCAAACTGTCAATTCAGTTTGGTGCTTCCCCGGCCTACCCACAGAGGTTTCGGGATCATTAAACTGCGAACTCGGACAACCCGAAAACCCTTAATCTTAAGGTTCTTTTCGCTTGACGTCGTTCGCTTAATTCTAGGGCCGCATACTGTCTTTTGACACGGTCTGCTAGGCTTAAGTCGGCGCGGACATATATGCCTGATCCTTTAAGAATATGAGAGTTGCTTACAAAAGCATCCCTCTCTTCTTTCGAGTTTAGTACGACTTTGAGGAGACGTACAGGCTGATTTACTGTAGGGTCAGGCTTTTGGCCGATTCTATATACGCTGTGTATAGTAATGCCTGATACTGTTTGTGGCAGTAGCTTGTCTAAAAGGGGCTTAACCAAGTTAAGCTCATGCTCGAATCGGGGCCAGTGACTCTTCCACTTTGTGGAGAATGAGCGACCTGTCAGAGAGATCAGGTTTGCTTGCCGTGGCTTTCTTGCTCTGCGGCGTAAGCGTGTTTCTGTCCTTCGTGGGCGGTGTAGCCAATGTGTTATCCTTATCTCGCTTTTTGCGAGAGACTACATTACGCCACTCATTGGCGTCCTCCTTGCTAATCGTAGTAGGATTTATCTGCCTGCTACTCACCGGTGTGGATGAGGTTTGATCCACGAGTCCCCTGGGCGACTTGAGCTGCAGGTTTTCGACCCGCAGCAGTCTTTCTATTACTGTCACTGGAGGGCTTATCCAGTATCGTGGAGGCAGCCTGGGTGTCTGGAATGTGGTGGGTGCTCTTCTGTGCTGAAGGGCACTCACTTATTGATAGAGACGCGATGGGGACATGTGCTGTTTCGTCGATGACGCTAGTCACGTCATCGGTGTCTGAGCAGTAATCGGTCTTCTCCTGTGGTTTGTGGAAGAGCCTTGCAGTCCATGAACTATAGAGCCCCACTGAGAGTGGCAATGGCTTCTGTTATACGAAATCTAATCGTACTACAGCAGTCATTGCACAGCCAGTTTGCCAGAGGTTTGCGGCAGCGTTTTTATGCTGCAGGAGTTAGGTTTGTGCACATGCTATGAAACCATCTCTTGCAGTTATCACACTGCATTCCCTCATCCACTGGAAATCGGCACATAACCCTTCCGCAGCGGTTTCTTTTGATTGGCATGCCTTTTAGAGCGATTTGGGGAAAAACGAATTAAATATTACTTTATTTGTATGTATATAACCTTGATAAATCAGCGATAAAGGGCCAATAGGTGCACAAAAATAGATATATATAACTATTAAGTTATAGAAACACAACTTCATATTATTTAAGAGAGTCGAAACTAAGACGTAAACCAACTTCGATCAGAACAAACTGATTTAAAGTTAATCTGTAGACGTTTGGAGCGTATAACACAACCAAAGCCAAAACTAAACAAGAGCGTGTAAAATTCACTCCGTTTTTCAAAGTTTGCACCGTGGCGAATTAGCTTCACATCATCGATGGTTTGTGAGCTTCATATTTCATTTGAATTCCAAAAAGAAGTTCAAGTACTAATAGTAAACTTACTGGAATCTCACTAAACCCACCTGCAAACATCTCGTGAAAAATTAAATACCCGCCGCTTCGTTGTAGGTCGCAAGTCTCCTTTGCGACCTTGGGAAAATCATTCAATGACATTTTTATCCTTCTTGTTTTTTTTAATTGGCTGGTTTGTAGGTATTATGCTTTCATGATTCGTTTATGCTTTTGGTGCTCTTTAGGACGTATAGTTTTTCGGAGTTTTCATACTCACTTTTGCTAATTTTTAATTATTTATATCGTCTTCATTGCACACATTATTTTGCTGCAACTATGAAATTTTGAGGATATGATGTCGGTAGCCCAATTTAAGCATGCCTACCACTGATATCAGGTGTGCGTCGGCCTGAGGTCGAACCCCAGAGCATGTGCATGGTCGGCGAGCGCCCAATCCTCTGTGACACCGACGCATTTCGCCCAGCATATGATTCTTATAATTACAGTTTATTTACCACCAGAAAGTACTTAAAAGTTTAGTTTAGTTTGTAGTGCACCTTGAATGTTTGAACTATTGTTTTAACGCACACATGTGCTATGGCACTACACCATCGTTTTCCTACATGACTGCTTGCACGTATATCAGGGCACACAAGAGTACCTTGATCCTTTCACCTTGACTTTATTCATCAGTACACATACACGGTATGCAGTTTACTGATGGGAGTTAACCAAGGAAAGGAAGTTTAGTAAGTGGTGACGCTTAAGGCCTATCTGTAGTGCCACGTTTTATCATTCGTCATCGTAGTATAGGTGAAGTTCAACAAAAGCGTCCCAAGGGATACGGACGCACGAGTGACCTTCAGCCGACCAATCATAAAAATGAAGAATTTTTGCACAAAGAATGACGTATATTTACAAGAAAATGCATGAAAACACACTAAACAGGGTATCTTTCTCTGACATGGCCTAAAAATGCGTCCCACTTACAATGAGGAGTACAATTTGCTAAGTTAGACTAGTTTCTATGCATGTATTCAACGAGGTGACTAAAGATGAGCTGTTTTGGTGAATTGTTCATAACTCTTATCCTGTTATGCAGTCTTTCCCAAAAGCCCTCGGTTCAATTACTGTCGTTTTCAGTAAGAGGATGGATGACTACTCGCCAGGAAAATGTGGATAAGAAAACAAATTAGAATAAATGACATCAACTCTAAATCTATTCCTAGTCGTAACCCTAACCTTAATCCTGAACCTAATTACAACCCTTATCAAAACCGTAAACCTGATCCTAATGCTAATTATAACACTGATCCCAACCCTAACCCCAATACTTACTTTAACCCTAATCCTAACCCATACGAGCTATTAACACATTGTCCGAACATTATTCAAAATGTGATCTGAGTGAAATTTGCTGCTAACTCGATGAATAGCGTTGATATTTCACCTGTGTTAATGACAAGTGCCGTCAGTCAACGACTAGCATGCATTCAAGGTGATTGAAGCATTTGCACTGCTATTGTTGAACTTCGCCTCAAGTGCCTTTTGATTTACGTTGTGGATGTCGAGCAGTCACAACATTAAGACACAGTAATAAACGCGAAGAAGTACTGGGAACATCTATGTACCCTAGTTTGGTCAAACTGAGCAATACAACATATTTAGAGGTTGGCTCAAGGCACTCACAAAACTTTAAAAACTTGTATTTCAAAGTCAAAATTAAATATCAGGATTTGAAGATTGATTAATTTAGTTTTCCTAAAGAAAATAGTTGCAAGTGTTTATACTACTAGTGCTACTCATACTGTGGTGAGAGCTGTCTACTAGCCAAATTGGTAGACAGTAATTTACGTCAATGTTTACCTTCTCAAGATTGGTCGTGAGAAAATATGAACAAGACTGATTCAAAACCCGACCACAGCAGACTTTGCGTAGGCGGATACAGTTAACATATAGAGGATTTGACATTCAAGAAACAGTCACAAACAGATGAAAGATTAACTTTCTGTGAGAAACAACCAATCAGAAGACTGTGTTTGTTTGCTTAAATAATCTATAATAATGTACATGAAAATATATAAATATTCGTTGATATCCTTAATCAACGATCTGTTGCCTGGCCCTTGTCTTCTGTTCTTACAGTAGTATTCTCCATATTTCCGGTGTGAGTGATGATTCATTCCTATTGCATGTGTTGGGTGTAGACTCGATGAACAAGGATTCAGTAATCAATCTCTCTCGCTCTCCACCTACCTATAGTACTTAAAATTTTAACCCTCTCCTTCCCAACCTATTGTGTGGTTGTATGTTAATACATGCAGTGCAACTGCTGAGCTTTTTTCTAAATTACTTATCTTTGTGAGTGGGGTCAACCATTCTTATCTTAGCTAAATTCTTATGTTCTCACAGTCAATCTGACTACCCACGACCTACTAGTCTGACCTATATAGTTGACCTAACTCACAGTAATTGCGAGGTATTTTGTAAATTATATTATTTTGTCTAATTGGGTCAACCGATATTTTCCTTCAACCTACAGAGCTTGCCTCTGAGTGAGTTTATAGGTTTGAATGCCACCCTAGTTCCTGCTTTATTCAGAATCCTACATAGGGTCTCAGATGTCCCCTCCTTATATGGTAGAACTGTAGATGCCTTACATATGTTATCATTACTAGCTTCACAGTTATTTTTATTTTGTTTTTGACTTTTACTGATCTTCCTAATGAATTTTGTAGGAAAGTTATTTATCGCCGACCAGCTCTTCTTCTATCTATTTTATTTCATCATTTAGGTCTTTTCTTGTACTACTTAGTGCTATTGCTCGGTTTGTTACACATTTAGCGAAGCCTCCCTTCACATATAGACAGGGGATGAGATGAATTAAAGCGTAAATATCTATTAGGATATGTTGGCCTTTTATAAATGCTAGTGTGTAGTTTGCCTTCTTCTATTCGTTTTATTTTACAATCTAACATAGCTAATTCTCCTTGTTGATTTTCCGATTCGGGTGGGAATTTTATTCGCTTCACTAGTGAGTTTATATGCATCAAGAAGCTAGAGTTATATTCTGTTTTTAACATTGTGAAAGTGTCAGTCATCCACATATCTCCACCATATTTGTGGAGTAGGATTAAACATATTAAGAGCCATATTTTCCAAGCTATCCTTACCTCAATATCGGTTGGTTCTTACCTCAATATCGGTTGGTTATCGTATGCCTACAACCACGGGATGAAAACGGAACGAAGTCGATTTTCCCGCTCAACCTGGAGGACAACTGTACAATTCAATAACTATACGGCCTAATTCAGAAAATGAGTGTATTATATGTATCGAATATTTAACAGTTGAAATACGATTAACTTGTAGACAATCTACGATTTGATATTATATCATACTTGATCGTGCCTGTAAAAATGGCATGCATTTTCATGTAAATTTGTAAATTTATATGAAATACATTATTGTTATTATTATTATTATATCTGCTGCGATAGGGGATATTGGTGATCCATCCCATTGCTACACCTTCTGTTTGTCTATATATCTTGCCTTGTAATTTAAAGATGGCAGATGTGAGACAGCATAACTGAATTCCTAAAATAATTTGCTCAATGGGCAGCTTCGTCCTATGAGTAAGTTCAGGATTTGCACTTAGTTCTCTCCCAACTGCTTCTAAGGCTGCCATTTGATTGGTTGGTATATTAGTATAAAGACTAGTTATATCAAAACTAACCATTGTTTCGTCATTCTCTAGTTGAATGTCATATGAATTAGTTAGTCTAGAGTCTGAACGATTTCCCATTGGACATAATATTAGAGCTAAATCTTTTGATGATTCATAAGTGGGCGTATTTCTGAAATCTACTATTGGTGCTATGGGGTAACCTGGTTTATGTATTTCAATGGTACCATACATTCTACTAGCATTATTAGTTTTAGGCATTGCATTGAACCATTTAAACTCACCCAGTGACGGCTTCATTCTGCGTATTGAACCCGCTGTAGATTTCTTAACCTTATTCATTATTGTATTTACAGGCTTCTTAATTTCCTCATATGGACCCATCTCAACATGTTCAGTGTGTGATTCAGTTCACTACAACCAGAATGAGCATTGGTGATTAATTCATTAATTAATTAGGTAATTTGATTAACGTTTAAAATACTCTGGATAAACTTACAAAAACGCTATTCGGTTCCAATATTTTCAATTCAATGAATATCTTATTATCTTTGCTATCTGAATGTTTGCGTGAACTTTGAGTATTGGTGCTCTAGGCAGTAACATAAGAAAATCAAAGAGAAGAAAGATGTAAAATATTATTAGAATTCAATAGAAAAGAAGTAATTTGGAAACTACTTCACTACTACGGCGTACAGTACCCAAGTCTTTATTAACCTCATTCAAACAGTTCACTACATGACAGTGCCATGTGTCAAGTGATCCACAATGGAGAACTCAGAGAGACGTTCTAAGTGAATACAGGAGTAAAACAAGACTGCCTGCTTACTATTGTAGCTGATATGCCTAATTGTGGTGGAGTGGATTATGCGTCAGACTGTAAACAGGAAGAGAAAAGACAGGAATATTTTGGATTGATTAGATGGCTCTATAAGATCTGGATTTCACGAGTGGATAATATACGTCTAATGTCACACAGACTCGAAGACCTGCGGGTGAAAACCAAAACACTTGCTGAAGAAGTAGGCAGGCAATGAAGACAGGACTACAGGTGAACATAGAGAAGACAGAAGTGGTGAAGATAACCAACCAACAGCGACGGCAACAACGACCAGCACCAATCACCACCAACGGGAGAGATTTAACAGAGTTTGCCTCCTTCACTTATCTCACTAGGCAACATCATTTCAACTGCAGGGGGAACGGATGAAGATTTCAGAGCCAGTCAGAATCGGAAAGGCAAGATTCGCCTTTATCAACCTGAAACCAGTTTGGAAATCTTCTGCACTCCACCTCAGCATAAACAGCAAGATTAGGATCCTCAACACCAATGTCAAGTTGGTCCTTCTATACGTGTCAGAAACTTGCACTGCGCACCCGTCACGAAAAGGATTTCCAACAGGTTTCAGACTTTCACCAACAGCTGCCTT